TGAAGGAGCAGTCTGGTGGATCAGAGACAGCCCATTACAGGCTGGCTTCTCCAGAACTCCACACATGGGGCCCTTTTGTTCTTTTTCTTAGGAAAGGTTCTACTGGATCTGTTAGAACAGCATGAGATCATATCAGACATAATATTGGGTAATTATGTTTGTATTCAGTGATCCAGGATGAGTGTACTACATACTAAAATGGTGATGCAATTTGGTTACTTCTGTAAATTGCTTAAAGCTTTATTTAAAAAGGCCAAGAGAATGCCCGTGTAGTAGCTTAGCAGCTTAAGCCCTTGCCTCACATGCACCAGGATCCCATATGGGTGCGGGTTCAAATCCCGGCGGCCCTACGTTCCATCCAGCTCCCTGCTTGTGGCCTGGGAAAGCAGTGGAGGACAGCCCAAAGAGACCTGGAAGAGGCTCCTGACTCCTGGCTTCGGATCGGTGTAACTCTGGCCATCATGGCCACTTGGGAGTGAATCAGTGGACAGAAGATCTTCCTCTCTGTCTTTCCTCTTCTCTGTATATCCGACTTTCCAATAAAAATAAAGCAAATCTTACAAAAAAAAAAAAACCCGACCAAGAGAAAACAGGGGTGGCAGAGATATCCCATCCACTGGTTCATCCTTAGTGTCTGTAGCTGGTGCGGAAGCCCGAAGCTAGGTATGCCATGTGGGTAGCATGGACCCAAGTACTTGAGAACCGTCACCTGTTGCCTTGTAGGATGCACATTAACAGGAACTAGAGGCAGGACTGAAACTCAGCCATTCCAGGATGGGGGACGTGGCATATCAAGCACTGTGCCCAGGGCCTGCCCATGTTGTCTGGGAGACGTACATATGTCTTAGGGGTTTGGAAAGTTCTTTGTGCATTAAGGATGCTAACATTTTTTAAACACAGATCAAAGTTCCTTGAAAGGCAAAGGGAGGGACAGACAGAACTTTTTTTTTTTTTAGAAGATTTATTTATTTATTGAAAGTCAGATATACAGAGAGGAGGAGAGACAGAGAGGAAGATCTTCCATCTGATGATTCACTCCCCAAGTGAGCACAGTGGCCGATGCTATGCCGATCCGAAGCCAGGAGCCAGGAACTTCTTCTGGGTAAGAAGTGGAACATACCAGCTCAGTGGGACTGAGCAGGTGCCTATGGGATGTTACACTGCAGGTGAGGGGTTGTCCTGCAGCACTGGTGCCATGATGAGATACTCACAGCAGCCTTCTCTTGCACCTTGTGATTCTGGTCTGCCCTCTTCAGGCATACATGCTGTGCTTATTATTTGTTCTATGTTTGTTTATTAACCCCACAAATGAGAAGTTATTGTTACTACTCTACAAATTCAGTGTTTCTTTAGACATACGTACACATCAACCATCTTCTTTGCTCATTTTTTCTTCTGGCGTTTTATATTTGGGATCGATTTTTCTTCTGCTTAAGATAAATCCTCTGTCATTTTCTTTAAGAAAGTGATTGATAAACTCAGTTTTGACTTAAAATGTTTTCATTTGAAAGATAACTTCAAGATGATCTTGAAAGATAGTTTTGCAGAGCCTCCAATTATGTTTCATCTTTTAATAACTGAAAATATTCATCTACATTGACTGTTGTTGTTACTATTGAGAAATCAGCTGTTAAACTATTATCTTTTATAGATGGCTTGCCATTCTTTTCCTGTGGTTGCTTCTTTAGAATTCTGTTTCTTTTCAATGTATTTGAAAGGCAGAGAAACAAAGATCTTCCATCTGCAGCTCCTCTTGTCAAATGCCTGCCACCCAGGGCTGGGCTAGGATAGAGCCAGATGCCTGGAGCTCAGTCCTGGCCTGCCTCCCGAGTGGTGGTGGCCCAGCTGCTTGAGCACATTAGCAGGAAACTGGAAGCAGAAACAGAGCTGAGACTTGAACCCAGGTACTCCAGTGAGGAATGTGCTTCTCCATGTGTCGTCCCAAGTCCTGCACCAAGTAACCTGCTGCTCTTCTAGTTGGTTTTTAACGATTTTTAAAAAGATTTATTTACCTTTACTTGAAAGGCAAAATTACATAGAAAAGGAGAGAGAGAATTTCCATCTGCTGGTTCACTCCCCAAATGGGAGCAATGGCCAGAGTTAGGCTATTATGAAAATTTTTTTTTCATCTGTAAAGCTTCTGTACAGGAAAGGAAACAGAGTGAAGAGGCAACCAATGGAATGGGAGGATATCGTTATATACCACACAATTGATAAGGGACTAATATCCAGGATTTACAAAGAGCTTCAGAAACCCTGGGACAGTTAAAAAAAACTGTGAAGAAATGGGTGAAGGAAATGAACAAATTGTTCTTTCTCAAAAGAACAGATTGAAATGACTAACAGACATATGAAAAGATGCTCAGGCTCCCTAGCCGTCAAGGAGACACAAATAAAAACCACATTGAGGTTCCACCTAATTGCAGTGAGGTTGACCTACATTCAGAACTCTACTAACAATGCCTGCTGGCATGGATGTGGGGGAAAGGTGTCTCCTTCGCTGCTGGTGGGAGTGTGAGTAAGCACAACCACTGTGGAAATCAGTAAGGAGAATGCATAGAGAACTCCAAATAAACCTGCCATATGACCCAGCTATCCCACTCCTAGAAATATACTCAAAAGAAATGAGAACTGCATATGAGAAGGGGATCTGTAATCCTGAATTTGCAGCAGCACAATCTACAATAGCAAAGACATGGAAACAACTCAGATGCCTGTCCAAAGAGGAGTGGCTAAAGAAACTGGTACATCTAGGTACATCTACTCCATGGGATACTACTCAGCCATTAAAAAGAATCAAATTATACTGTTTGCATCCAAATGATCTCAACTAGAGATCATTATACTCAGTGAAATAAGTCAATCCTAAAAGGACAAATACCATATGTTCCCTCAGATACAAGGCTGCCTTCATGGAAATTGTAAGATCAATAACCATTTCAATACTGTTTTTGCTGCAAACCGTGGGGTTTGATATTTTCGTTTTTATTTTCATTTCTTTGAGATAATTTCTTTTCTCTTATTAAATTTTTCACCGACTCATAGATCATACAATAGCATCAATTTCCCCAAGAAGATTTTGTGTTTTCTTTTTCATTTCTTCATCGACACATTGGTTTCTCAGTAGCATGTTACTTAACTCCATGGTGTTGTAAACTTTTTGTTTTAACTTTACTCTTGTTGTTGACTTTGTCTCATGGCTTCTCGTTTAATTGAATGTGTAGTAAATGGCATAATAGGTACTGTCATATCCAGATATGAAGACACAATGCAGTATGCATCTCTGCTTCCAAATAAAAGATGGACTCCCAATGAAACTGTTGGACATTTCTTTACAATTGGATGCTAGACTGTCTGCCGTTGCCTGTACCAGCAATCTCAGGACACACTTAAATAACAGAATGATAGACTTATGACTGCTTATGAAGGAATATAATATTGTAATAATATGGGGGAAATCAGTTGGGGGGAGGGAACTTAGAGGGGAGGGAGGGAATTCCTTGACCTTATGGAATTTTACCATAAAATTTAAAATAAAGTAGAAAAACAACAGCACTGCAGAGCCAGGTCCGTTGCTTGCCCCTCTGCAGGCAGATTTGGTGTAGCTTACACATACCCACAGTACAGGCCTCAGGAGTCCCAGTCCTCCACAATGATTCCTTTTTACATTCACTTTTTTAGAGGTTTTGGTTTTTTTCCCCTCCCATCTCCTTCCTCTCCGTGGCTAATAAAATGAAAATTCAAGGTCACAAATGTTGAGCAAGTGCCCAGGGCCGCTGCCAGCTTCTGTCTTGGCTCACCTCTCTGTATCCTAGTCTTGCTTCAATTTTGGCCTCAGAAGATTTGATTCTTCCTTTACCAACTCAGCAATGCATTCAGAAATATTATTTTAAAAAATACCGTAGTCAGCGTTTTTCGTTGCTGATAGAGGCGGGGTGATTGAGGATACTGCAGGATCATTGTCTGCTTTGAGTTTTTTGGTTGGTGTTGTTTGGAGTTCCTTTCCTCCAGGGAGAGGGCATGGGTCTGCGGCTGACCATTCTTTTTCTCCTGAGAGCTGCAGAGGGACTCCTCTGAGCCGCTGGGGACTGGGCCTTCTGCTGCTGTCCTCTGGTGACGACCCTCAGGGCTGACCTCACGCCTGGCTGGAGCCTGTGACAGCTCCCCTCCAGCTCGTGCCTCGGCACAGTTTTGGATCATGGATTCTGAGTCCCTTCTCCCTCCTCATAACCACTTGTTTCTGGTTTCCTTCAACAGTAATTTCTCTCTTCTCTTGCCCAGTTTATCAAGAGGAGAAAGTGTCCTGAATCCCTTTCATCACCTGTCGGCTTGCTGGCAGCTCACCCTGAACAAAGGCAACATGCCCTGTGGCCAACTGTTGCCCCCAACTCCAGGGTCCCAAGCCCAACTTGGAGATAACTTCTGGACTACCCCCACCCTATTTTTAGCTGAGGGTGGGGCTGGGGCTGGGCTCTGAGGAGGCCAGATGTCTGAGTGGCTCCCTCCCCCTTCAGGAAACTTCAGGTTAATTTATCACCTACAGGAAACACAATAGGAGTCACAGAAACAGTCGTTCTCAAAGGATGTGCACCTTTTTTTTTTTTTAAGTTTCAAAATGAGACTGTTAGAAATTTTTAAGTTATTTAGATGGATTATGCTTTGTGGTTCACTTGATCTTTTGGGAAGTGCGGGGTCTCATTTGTCACTGTGTGTTCCGGCAGGTGCCCAGCATGTGCACAGTTCGATCCAGGCTGCAGGTTCCACTGCTGCAACGTCTGCTCGTGGCTGTGTTCCCTTTGCCACCTAATTCATCAGGATAGAATTTCATCCCTACAGAGATTTTCAGCAGTGCCCACAGCCCCCGCTTCTTGTAAGCAGCAGGAGAAATACTGCCATATCGAAAGAATGCAAGCGCTATTTCCAAGGAGCCGTGGCAGTCTTTTTAAACTTCATTTTAACAGCTGGCAAGTTCTCACAGGTGCATTTTCTTATTGTTTCAGCAACTGTAAGGAACCACTGGCAGTCAAGCAGTACCGAACCCCAGCTAGAGAACCTTGCTGCTTCTCCGACGCAAGAGGACTTTGCAACAGTGGCTTCCAGGGAGGGGATGATGGGCCAGACCTCCAGACAGAGCCAGGCAGCTGCTTCCAGAGCACCTGAGATCCTCACTCTTCTAACTGGAGCAGCAGATGCTGAGGCAAGGACCGGCTCTTCCAGTGCAACAGATTTCCCCACTTCTCCCGTGGGACACCTGCCTGACTCAGCAACAGCTCTGACATCACAGAGTAGCACCTTCGGTGAGTTGGTGCTGATGGAGGCTCATTTCATTCACCTGTGTCCGGTCTAAGAAAAACAAATTTCTGCCACCCCCATCTCCCAGATTTGTTGAGTGGCCTGGCGGATGCTGCAGTGTCTGTATTCCAGGCGCAGGCACCCTGCCACACGCACACTGATCTCAGAGGCACAGGTGGTGGGATGTGTGGCTGTGACAGCCAGGTGCCTTTCTGTGAATGTGGTTTTAGTCTGTTGATGTAGCTCAGATGGTGGTTCTTGCTCCAATCTACACAGCCTTACAGGTTACCTACTTTTAGCAAAGGATTTTGAAAAAGGGTTGGGGAACAGCGAGTAAAATTGACAGAAACCTAGAGCAGATTGTGTACCTACTATACACCTGTCTGTTCTCTCAGTCCTTACTGCCGGCCGATGAGGTCCTGTTATTCTCATCTTGGGCATTTGGAAACAAGTCCAGGGATAGTCATTAACCCTGCCTGTATAGGTCTTTTTTTAAAGAGTGAGCTGGCATTTGAGCCTGCATCCGAGGTGAGGTGGGAAGCCCAGACAGTGTGAGTGAAGATACAGAGAAAGACGAGGGAGACCTCCTCGTGGGATAGTAAACCCAGCACAGTACCCCACCCCCACAGAGAGGCCTAGTTGTGCCCAGAGCAGCAGCTAGGACAGTGGTATGATGGGATCGGGGACACTCCCAGAAGACCTTGCAAACCAGGCACTTGGTCTATGCTGTGGTCAGAAGAATCCCTGCAGGGTTTTACAGCAGGACTGACTTCGTTCAGTTGAATGTAGGGAGGATTCACCTGGCAGGTGGGTATACGGTGTCCGCTGTGGAGGCAGGGAGAGGAAGAGAACCTGGAGGCCCAGGACCACCAAGGCTGAAGCAGACATCAGGTGCGCTGGTCTGGTGGTCCCAGTGATAAAGAGGAAAATTGATAGGAGCTGGTGAAGACCTGAAGGTAGAAGTCGCCATCCAAGGCTGCTAAGGCCGGGCTGGGGACACTGTCCATGGTCCAGCCGAGCTTGGAAACTCTTGCATGTGACAGTGCCTGGTTTCGTTGTTTTGGCTGAGTATTGGGAGTTGAGTTTATGTTCAGTGCAAGCTATGCGCGAGACCAGCTTTGTGGAGTGTGGGAAGTGACCCATGATGATGAGGCATTGATCTGGTTATAAGCATGTGGTACTTACTTTCAGCCTGCCCTTTTACAGGGAACAGTACCCACAACTGCGCACTCTTGGTGAGATAACAGATTTTTGTTTTTTTAAAGTCTTTACCTTGCTGTGGTGTTTCTTTAGGAGCTTACTTTTCACAGACCAATAATTGCTCTTGTTTTCTTATCATGTCTGGATGCAAGAGCGTCTCAAACACTTGTGCAAAACAATGGAAGTTTATTGATGCAAAAAAAGATTGAGATCCATGCATAGTTCTTTTCCATAAGATACATTTTCCTTTTTTTTTTTTTTTTGAGGACCCTCCTGTATGTGGTTTGAAAAATTTTACAGCCAAATAAACCTATCTTTTTAATTCCAATTTCCCAAGGACTTTGCAGAGTTCCCTTATAATGTTGTCCAAGTCAGAGCCAAGTTTGCTGAAAGATTCTTAGGTCACTTCGAAGTAATTGGCTGCTGGAGGTTAACTGCTGCTTTCTGATTGCAGCTTCGAAGGGGCTTTCCCTGCCGGCCAGCAGTGGTGGCAGCTCCGGGTCGGAAGGAAGCCTCGCCCCTTCTCGCCTGGAGAGCGGAACCTCGCAGGGTTCCACAGAGAGGGAGGGACGGCTCCCAGAAGCTGCCACTGTGCACATCCCAGTGGCTGCTTCGGGGGTTTCCAGCCAGTCCTCCAGAGAAGGGACCGCACCCTCCCGACAGAGACCCTCCTCCTCGGGAGGTGAGCTTTTCCTGCCTTTCTCCTGGACGCGAGCTTCCTCCCCTCCGTCGGACCTTCCCCCAGGTGAGAGCTTCCTGCCTCTGCTTTGGCACTCCAACATCTTCTAGAACGATGGACACAGGGATAAGGCTAACCACACATAGCAGGGACAGAGGAGAGTGGACTTGGAGGAGACATTTGGCAGAGACGGTTTATCTCACTGTGAAAAATGCATATTTCGTGACTGGCGTTGGCAGGTTAAGCTGCTGTCCTGTGACGTCAGCATCCTCTCTGGTTGCTGTGTCAGTCCCAGCTGCTCTACTTCCAATCCAGCTCCCTGTTACTAGCCTGGAAAAGCAGTAAGAGATGGCTCAGATGGTTGAACCCCTGCCACCCATGTGGGAGACCTGGATGGAGGCCCAGCCATTGTGGCCATTTGGAAATAAGTTGGCAGGTGGAAGATCTTTCTGTCTCTCCTCTCTTTGTAACTCTGCCTTTCAAACCATCTTAAAAACCAAGAAATTCACATTGAAGATTTGTGGGGGTTTTTTTTTTTTTTTGCCTGTTTAAGGGGGAAAGTAATAGTGGGTCTGATAGCTATTCAAGACCTTTCTGCTCATCACCTCCTGCCTCTCTCTCTCTCCATTTCCCCCCTCCCTCTCCTTTCCTTCCCCCTCCCTGTTCACACAATAAAGACTCAGTATTGCTGAGCCACATGCTAGGGCGCATGAAATTATGAGCACTGTGCCATTTGATTAGGAGTTACATTCTTATTAATTTGTTATTATAAAAATGTTTCCTTTTGTGGCAAAGAAAATATAGGTATAATTTTTTCCAGGTGCTAGTTTAAAATTAAAAAAAAAGTCCAAGTGCAGCTGTGTGTGAGGCGTGACGTAGTGACGCAGTGGAGCCTCCTCTTCCCTTCCAGTTCCTGCTGGATCAGTTTTGTTTCTGCTCAAGTATTCCATTTCTGTGAGCTTTTCTTTAACCTCTGCGTCCTCAGTGTTGTATCCCTTGTCATACCTGGCCACCCACTCACTGTCTGTAAACTTCAGAACAGGCTGTGCGTAAGACTTTTGTTAGGCTCCCTACTGCCTTGGAACAAAGTTGACCAGAAACAGAGACCAGCGACCCTTGCCATGGCATCGCAGGTCGTTGTTTCCTGTGATGCCGGCATCCCACATGGGTGCTGTTTGAGTCTGGCTGCTCCCCTTCCGATCCAGCTCTCTACAGATGCTCCTGAATAAGCAGCAGAAGATGGTCTAAGTGCCTGGACCTCTGCACCCATGTGGGAGACCCAGAAGAGCTCCAGGCTCCTTGACTTTGACCTGCCTCAGTCTTGGCTGTTGCGGCCAGCTGGAAAGTAAACTAATTGTGAAAGATTCTCTTTCTCTGGTCTCTCCTACTCTTACTGTAACTCATATTTGAAATAAATAAAATCTTTTGAAAAACAAAAGAAGCGGAGACCAACATGTGCCCAAATTCCTTTATAAGACACAACCTACCATGAGCCAAAGAAGAGGTTGGACAGTCTAGACACCTTTCGTGAGTTTGTTCCTGCTGTCCATGTGTGCTGTGTGTGTTTTTATCCTCAAGCCATAGGGAGCAGGGTGGTCAGAAACAGTCTTGGGAAATAGAGACCAGGTTGCTGCAGCAGTTGCTATTTATAGGCCAGGGACTTTTAGAAATACTCCGTAAGACTAGGAGTTTAGGTTCAGGTCATCAAGGTGAAGGTTGTGCCTGGAGCCCCTTTGTGTAAGGGCCTGTTCAAACCAGCAGTTCTTCTGTGTACACTGTGTAGTTTGGGGGATGGGGTCTTCTGATTCTTGTGTTTAGGAGACTGCCTTTTAAGATTATTGATAAACATTGGTTGAACTGTATAAAAGTTATGAACTTTGCCAGCCCTCAGAAATCGGAGCTTGGTGTTTTATAATCAGCTTTACTAAATAGTGGAAAGGAAGAATTTTCTATGAGGCTATGCTTTGATTCTGCCCAGAGTCATATAATATTTATCATTTACATCAGCCCACATCCGTGAGGCATTTGAAAGTCAGTCTATGTGTCCAACTTTTTGACTATAGTCACTTTTCAAAAACTAAAAATAGTATTTGGTCCTCAAATTATTTGAGCTGTTTTCCTTTTTTAGAACCTTATACTTTGAATGTTTGGGGAGTTTCACCAAGCATTTCTCTTGTTAGTGAACTGGGTATTGTCCTAGATAAGGTCCTATTCCACGCTTGCATATTGGATATTACTAAATGCATGCAACCCCAGGCATCTAAGTGTGTCTGAATCCAGCCTTCCAGCCTTGCTTCCTCCCTCGGGAATGTTGAGAACACATGTATGAGGGCTTAGGGCCAAATGAGAAACAAAATCCTGCTTTACTTTGGAAGGTGGCTTAGCACCTGCTAACTCAACAGAGCTCAAAATGCCTCTAGTGTCCCTTTGAATGGAAATGTTGGGGTTTCTGTTATCCCTTTGTGATGACATGAAGCAGGAGCTGTATGCAATCAGGCCGGAGTGCTGAGAAAGAGCCAGCAGGACCAGCCAAGGGCAGATCCAGAGTTGGCCCTGTATGCCTGGCCAGCTCTGCAGACACAAGTGAAGAGCGAGGGCATTGATGCCTGCACCTTTGATGCTTGGCTACTCCACCCGCTGGCATGTGTGACCAGCAAGAAGCCTGGCACTGAGACCAGTCAGTGATGCTGCTCCAGGAGCCTGGCCAGGGGAGGATGTGACTCCTTGTTTGAAATCTGAACGAATTGGACCAGGTGATCTGAAAGGTTCTTTCTAGTTCCAACATTTGTTACTTGACACACATTCAGCCTCTTTATTCTCTTCCTCCTTTCATGTCTCACTCTACTTACACAGAAACACTGTGCAAGACAACCTGTCTCAAGGCTGGGATAGCCAGAAGCTCTGTGCTTACAAAAGGAAAGTGTGCATTTTATGATATTGTTTTCTTTGTATTTGATTTGAGAGGGAGAGGCAGAGAGAGCTCCCATCTTCCAGTTCATTCCCGAGGTATCCTCAGCAGCTAGGGCTGGGCCTTTGCCAAGAGCCAGGCATCTATTCCAGGTCTGAGAGACCAATCACGGTAGCCATCACTGCTGCCTCTCAGGAGCTGAAACCATAAAAGCTGGAGTCGGGAGTGGAAGCTAGGTGTTGAACTTGGGCACTCTGATAAGATGCAAGCTTTCCAGTTGGCATCCTAACCATTAAGCCAAATATACACTCCCAATAATCAAGTTTTAAAAAGATCAGAATCCATTTGAGATTGTTTTTCTGGCTGCTTTACATCATTCTGTGGTTTCCATATTTTCTCTAATGATCATGTATGTAGTATTTGATCCTGAAACTGGGAGTGGGTGGAGTCGACAGAGCAACAAACGGGAAAAAGGGCTCTCTTTTCAGAGCGGAAAGAAAGATGTGAACACTGAATTGTATGAGAGTGGCGGCAATTGAGCACTAAATTTAGTACTGAGCTTCCTGGAAACCAGGGCACAAAGAGAAACCGGATGGGGTATGCGATGATTGCTAGATAAGGTAAACGTACAGCTTTATCCATAGACACAAGTGTTTTTAGGGCAGTTAAGTAAGAACAGTTACATAAAGAATGTCGAGGATCATAATGGAAAATACCTTTAATCCCTGTTTGTGTCAATGGGCGATAATGTTTTTTTAAAAAGAAATGTTTTTATATGGATTCTCCATAGGAGCTGAGAGTCTAATAAAGGATCTGAAGTTAGGAAAGTATTTCTGTGGGTGGCCGAGCTAAGGTGGTCCAGGTAAATTGCTTTGTGGTGATTTTTACTTTGTCAAGGGAGAGACCATAAATAACTCAGATTGTGGGTTTAGTCTATCCTTCTCGAATATCAGCTGCCTCAGCTCTGCTTGCCATCAAGTTCTGGATGGCAGGTAAGTCAAGGCTGAGCATTCTGTACTTGCATGAGGGTGGTTCCTGCACTTTGAGCTGGGACTGGAGTGACTGACCCTTGAGCAGGCCCTTCACTTGTTTCTGCTCCCGGATGGGTGGTCTTCCCCTGTTTTTTTTTTAATTGTGTGCCTCAGGGGTAGAAAGATACAAGGAAGCATTATTATTCAATCATCCATAATGCTGCCCTGTGAATTAGGTACATGATAAATGCCTCCTTGGTTTAACAGGTGCTCCTTCAGTGATGTAAGTGGTGATTGCAGGTTTATTTAACCTAACATTTCTTCCTTTATTAAGAGGCACTAACGTCAAAGAAGTATTTGCATCTATTTCCTAGCTTCCCAATGAGAATTAAATGAGACTGGTTTGTGTCTCTAAAGTCCTGCCTGGCACCTAGTCCTTGGTCAGTAACTGGTGTTTTCTAACGATGGTTAGTGAGATGAGGAAGCATGGTCCTGCCGAATCCTCCGGGTCAGGGGAAACAGAGCCCCTTTCCTTTCCTGACTTGCAGCATTTGTAACTTTTGTGATTGTGTTCCTACGACCATGGGTTTGCCAAAACCTCTGTAAGTGGACAGGCCTGGGTTATTCAATTCTAAATCCAGGATAATTGTGTCTGTTTTTAAGGGAACATTGAATAGTCGAAACCATACAGTTTACTGGAAATGGAAGTGTTTTTGGAAGAGCATCCAGCCATCTGTGAGACTGTGATTTGGTGGATGCAAATGACAGCTCTAATAAAATAGGCCTGAGAAGCTAAGTGATTCAGTGAGGGTTCGAGAGCTCTCTGTATAATCCTTTCATTTTAAAAAAGCAAAAAACAAAAAAACTTCTGTTTATTCCAGTTTCCTATGGCCACTTTTTTTTGGTAAGTTTACCTTCTTATTTGAAAGAGTAGGAACAAGAGAGAGATCTCCTGTATATTAACTTACTCCCCCAAATCCTGCAACTTCTGGGGCTGAGCCAGTCTGAAGCCAGAAACTGAATCTAGGTCTCCCATCTGGGAGGCAGCAGCCAAAGCACAGAAGTTATCATTCCAGCCCCCGTTCCTGCTCATGCCTGTGCCTTAGCAAGAAGCTGGTTCTGGAACAGGTGCAGGACTCAATCCCAGGCACTCTGGTATGGAAGGAGAGGCACCCCTTCCTCTATAGCCCCCTGCCCTTGCTTTGCTTTACTCAGACTCAGGTGTTTTTGATTTGTTTTTTAAAGGGGGTGGATTGGGACATGTTAGGATTCTATTTCTATGTCTATTCCTTTGCTTTAATCTATAGCTTTATTGATTACCTTCTTTATTTTATTTTCTTTATTCATTTATGTTTATTTTATTGTCATTAAGATCCTGGGACCAGATTCTGCAGGCTGTGTTCAAGTTCCATGACCTTGTATAAGAACTCTTTATTTCCCGTATGCTTGCTCTTTCTCACTACTTATCTAAATTTTAGCTTTACTTCTGGTCAGAGATGCACATAGGATTGGTCTTCCAGGAACTGTTTATAATAACGACTTCCCTTTCCTGGGTCATAATTGATAGCTTGAATCTTTTCATTATATAGATGTAAAATACTTTCTAGTGTTTATAACTTAAGGGAAAAAAAAGTAGCACCTTTTTAAAAAATAACAAACTCATCTTATTTTTGATGATGTTTGTGTAGTTGAGCGGGATACATTCTCAAGGGGACCACAGATTAGGGTAGGGGGATTGAAGAACGGGGGAAAGTAGATAAGAAGACAACTGCCTCCAGTCTCCTTTTTTCTTCCTGCATCTGGGAAAAGTGGGGAGAGGAGAGTGCCGCTCCTAGCAGCTCAGCTGCCCGACATCGTCCCCGAGTCCCAGTGTGGAGCGTGTTGCATACTGCTAGAGTGGTTTTGATAGTTCCGACATGCTGTTGATTTCACTGCTCCAAGGTTAAGGAAATCCTTCCAAGATCCACTTACTGACATAGTCCGCCTTAAAATCTTGGTTCTCTCAGGTACTCGCTGTCAAAACTCGACTGGGAGAGCTGTCCAATTTGTTCTGCCCTTCATGGTACTAGATGTCCTCAGCAGGCCTCAATCAACTGGTTGTCATGTCCGGCATGAACATCTGTCCATCACACAAACTTGAGCAACGGGGGAGTCCACAGATCCTGTGGTTTATTTTTTCCCCCCTGTGGTTGGAGTTTGGAGTCTAGCGATCCAGTTTGGGGGGATCACCTTGCCAGAAGTGATTCTAATGTGACTCCTATGTCTGCCAGCCAGTGCATGGCCCAGCTCAGTCTATCACCCATATCAGCCTACACACACGCACTCGTCAGTCACCTGGTCAGTTCTGTCCCCAGCCCCATCTCATGTACAAACCAATGGATGTTGCAGCCCAGCCTAACCCCGCCCACCACACACTTGACCCTCCCACACAGCAATGGGAACTGCAGCCTAGTCAGAGCAACCCCCAGGACCCCTCACCTGGCCTGCCCCCAACCCCAGTTCCTGCTCATGCCAGTACATGCAGCAGACTGGTGTGGTCTGTCCCACATCCCATTCAGCTCTTACACACATCAATGGGTGTTGGAGCCTAGCTCAGCCTAACTCAGCCCCACCATCCAGCTCATCCTCATGTCGGCGGGTGCCACTGCCCGTCCAGCCAGGCTTTCCCCAGCCCTGGCTTTCATTTTTACTGGGGCTGAAGTCCATCAGAGGGATGCCCATTTTTCCTACTAGGCCCACTCTGAGCCCCAGGTCTTATACTTTCCAGATGGTTGTTCTATCTAGTCTGACAGGACTTGCCCTCAGTCCCAGCATTTGCTAGCTAATGCTGCAGCAAAGCCCAACCAACCTGCCTTTTCTCTGGCTCATGTGTGCACTTATAGATACAGTCATTTAGCACAACCTGGCTCTCCCCATAACGCACCTCACATGCCTCACATGCAGGTCAAAGGGCTTTGTGATTCTGCCCTTAAAGGGAGCCCCGGCAGCTCCCCTGCTGGTGGGACCTGCGAGCTGCACCCGAGACTGACATGGCTTGCCTTACCTCAGCATTCACCAGTGGATGCTGCAGTATGGCTCGGTTTGGCCTGCCCCCAGTTCCAGCTCATGCTAGTGGGCGCTGCAGCCTAGCCCAGCCTGGCCTATCCTGAACTGCCCCCTGTCCCAGCCAAATGTAAACTGGGTGGTATTGTACCCAACCTGGCCTGTCTTACACCCTGTCCTGTTTCTCATATCTGCCCAGTGAGTGGTATGAATTGGCTCACTCTGGCCCACCCCTAGACCGGACCCACATGTATGCCAGCAGGTATTGTAACCAGGCTTGGTGTGGACTGCTTGCAGCCTTGGTTCTTGCACTCACCTGCAGGGACTACTGCATCCTGACAGAGGAGTTCCCCAAGCTTCTCTATCAGGTCACCTCCTAGTGGCAAATCTCACGCACGCTATTGGGTCCTTGGCCCAGTCTGACTTGACCCACCTCCTGTCCTGGCAGGTACAGTGGCCTTGCTTGACCAGCCCACACCTATTCTGGCTCTTACTATTAGGGTCACTCCCAGCCACAGATCTTGCACATGTTAGTGATTGCTTCTAACCAGTTTGGCATAACCCATTACCCAACTTGAGCTTTGCCACCAAATGCTATGGCTTGGCCTGGCCTGGCTTGGCCTACCCCTAATCCCAACTCTGGTGGGTAAGTTCTGTAACCCTGCCCAGCCTGTCCCTATCCTTGGCTTTCATGCAAACCAGTAGATGTGATAGTCTAGCCTAGACTGGCATGACACACTCCATCCTGGCTCCTGTGCATGCCAGTGTGCTAAAGTTTGGCCTGGCTCTGTCTAGTCAGCTCCCTGACCCCCACTCCCTGCAGAGCCAACCCACACACCTACCGACAAGTGAAGCGGCCCTGTTCAGACTGACACACTCAAGTACTCATCAGTGGGAGCAATGGCCCACCAGGGGAATTTGCAAGTTTCCCCACCAGGCCCACTCCCAGACCCAGATCTCACACAGGCCAGTGGGTGCTAGCCCTTACCCAGCACAGTCTGCCCCACCCCAGTCTTGGCCTTTGTGTGTGTTGGTGGATGTTGCAGCCCGGTCTGCCCCACACCCAATTCTTGGATGCGCCTGTGGGTGGGTAGCACTCTTTTCTCACCTTTGTTTCTAACCTGCTCACTGAGCATTCTGTTTATTCCTGGTTGGAGTGAGGATTTTATTCTACCCTGCTTAAAGGTCACTTCTCAGGGTATCCCTTTGGAAACTTGTTTGTGAAATGGAGACATCAGCCACATCTCCATACTTGTGCAAATCAGAGCATTCCTCTTGACCGATGGTGTAGAATTTAATCCTCAGTGTTCTTGACAGCTGTCCTATGGCTGCCATCCATTGATCAGAAAAAAGGAAAATTGTTGCCAACCTGGAGTCTTTCACCTCCAAGAGGCCTGCTGGAGTCCCTTGTAGGTCTGAGAGCTGATCTTTGAGGCTTCATGAGGCCAAGTCACAGTCATGAAGCCTGTTTGGTTTTCAATGAAATTAAATCAAATTCATGGGATAATAATTAATATCTCCTGCTGGTTATAAGCTACGTTACTTAATGAATTGCAGTTTGGTTAAAAGCCTTTCAAAGCACATGGTTTTTAGTGGACCTGAGGTAAGAAATAATAAATTGATGATGACAAGGCTACAGTTGTCACAGCCCAGTAGTGCCCCACTCACGCTCTGCAGGCCACGGGCTGGGCACTCTACAATGCACTCAGGGTCGTTTGTTTTTTGTGTAGGATTTTAATCTGTGGCATCAGAATAAGTTGGTGGCAATGCTACAACACAGAATGACAAACACCTTATCACAATGACTTGCCCTCTTTAAGCTGTAATGTGAAATTCAGAAGTTTTCCTTTTCTGTCTTTTTGTATTGGTCTTGTTTTCTCCCTTTTGATTTGCTTTTCATTGTCTTCCCTGTGTCTTCATTCAGCCCTGTGAGAAGTAGAGCTAGTGAGTGTGAGGGAGTGTGTGCAAAATGCGTATTATGAAGAAATTTTGTGTGAATTTCATGATTTTTGTACCAAAGGAAACCAACCTTTTAATTCCACTTTTTGTAGCACCCTGGTACACCACAAATGCATCTGTTTGGTCCATAAATTTTGTATTTCTCTAACACAGTGTCATAAGGATAACTTCTCCCTAGGCCCTCTGTCAGTTTTCTTATGCCTACGAGTAGTTTTGAAGTACATATTCTTGCTGTTTCAGTTTCTGGAAGTGTGAAGGAGCTTAGCCACTCCTCTGCTGCCGAGAGCCCCGTGGTCAGTGAGACTAAGCGAATGCATGCCGCTGCCGCCACGTTCACCGACGGCGTCCCGAGGATGCTCCGGTCTTTAACTGTCAGTCTGCAGCCTGCCAATGAGACAGAAAGTTTCTCTGAAGACTCTAAAACTGCCACGAGTTCAACTTCACCTTCTGTGGAGGAGTCGAGAAGAAACAGCAGCCTAAGCAGGAGTCCGGGAGGCGGAGAATTCACTGAGCCATCAACAGAGGGTGAATTTGGACACACGTCTTTATACTGGCAGAGTGATTCCCCGAGTAAGCATTCCGCCTTTCTTGATTTTTGCAGAACATTTCTGACTAGTTGCTTTTTCTGAGATCTCTTCAGGATCCTTTGCAGTCTCCAAAGGAAAGTGGATTCCTTCTTTGGTGACACCAGTTCCTTTATATGGATGAGCGCAGGGCTGCATTTTGATTTTCATTCTTAGAGGAACGTTGTGAAGCTAATCCGACAGGTGTCACTCCTGCTTTTACAGAGATGAGGACCCCAAGTCTCAGAGGGTTTAAGTAACGTGTGCACTCCCTTCAGCTCTCAGCAGAGATGAGACCCCAGGGTTCTCCAGGTGGAATCCATCTTCTTTTCCCTTTATAGCATTTTGTTGACATGAGAGCTGGCCTGCTTGCTAAAAATTCAAACTTCTGTTATTTTGCATAGAAATCATTTGCAAATAATTATGCAGATAGATAATATAGTTGAAAATTCATGGTTAGATTGCCTTTTTTTTTTCTTTGCTATACTTTGGAATGAGAGTAACTTTTGTTACTATTAGAACTGTTTTGGAAAGGTACTCTAATTTGGCTGTGTATTTAAGCACATCATCTTGGGCAGACATGGCACACTATTTCCGTGATCACTTATTATGATAAAGAAAAAAACCCTCACAGCGATGGGTTACTGTGCTCCATGCACTTGCCATTCTAAAGTGCCCCTGTTCACAAATTTTTATTTTTAGAATTACTATCTTTCTGACAGAAAAGGGTTCTGAAATAATTACTTAGAGCACAGGTCAGGCTTCCCTGTAATAAACACAAGGATCTTGGACCGAGGAATCGGCCCTCAGTGAGGACTTGCTTCTTAATTGTTGAGAGAGCTCTTTCATACCCATATCACTGGCTCTTCCCCCCTGTATCCCTTATAGCATTTGGAGGGCAGCGACCTGCCAGCAGCCCCGAGGTCACAAATGGAAGCTCCACATCTCAGACAGAGACTGTGTCTAGGTCAGTCCCCTCCATCAGCGGTAGAGTCAGCACAGCGCACTGGTTCTTGACCAGCAGCAAGACATCTGCAGATGCGGCCGGAAGGTCGGCTTCCTATCCTGAAATCAGGAACGCTTCGGTTTTGACCCAGTTTTTGGACTCCACTGCACGGTCCGGAGGAAGTAGCACAGTACTGGGGGAAAAAAGATTCTCAGAGTCTTTGTCTACATCTTCCACAGAAAGCCTGGACTCCTCAGCAGCGCGTGGTGAACGCTCGAGTGAGTTCTCATTGCACAGGATTCTGCCTGCAGAGGAGGGGGCTCTGATGCTCTTCTGTGGCGTAGTAAGGCCGTCCACGCGTGAAATAACATCCCAAGCCCTTGTTTCCTTATTCGCAGGCCATCTGTCCAGCTGCTTGGCTTCAGTCTGCTTGTATGTCCTCTGTTTTTCTTTTTCTTCTGGTGTTGTTACCTTCTCTTCCCACACAGAACTCAACATCCTCCGTTCCCTGTCACTCGCCCCAAATCCCAGAACTTCAGGATGATACCACCTCATCTGTGGTTGTTCATTCTAGGTCTGGGCATATATATCAAAAGAAATAAACCCTTTAAGGTTTTTGAGATATAGTTAATATTCCATGTAATTTGCTTACTTAAATTGTACGGTTGTTGTTACAGTAGTCACAAGCGTTGTACAATAGTCAGAGTTGTACGACTGTCCCTTCTGGCTAATTCCAGAATATGTTCATCACCTGAAAATCAGCACCATATTCGTCAAGAGTTGCTTGACATTCTGCCCACTGTTAACCCCGGCAACCTCTTAGTTTATTTCTGGTGTCTGTGGGTTTGCCCATCTTACACATTTGGTGTAAATTGAGTCCTGTAACGTGGGTTTTTTTGTTCGTTTGTTTTTTCAGATTTATGTGTGTTTATTTTTAGAGTTACAGAGCGAGCTCTTCCATCTACTGGCTCACTCCCTAAATGACTGAAACAACCAGAACTGGGCCAGATGGAAACTAGCAGTTAGGAACTTCTTTCAGGTCTCCAAAATGTGTGCAGGGGCCCTGGTACTTGGGCAGTCTTTCACTGCTTTCCTAGGCATATTTTCAGAGAGCTGAATCAGAAGTACTACAACCAGGAATTGAACCACGACTTGGCTTGACCTGCTATGCCACAGTGCCAGCCTCAATGTGACCTTAATGTATCTTTCATTAGCATGTTTTTTAAAACTTTTTTTGATTTTTTTTTATTGGAAAGGCATATTACAGAGAGGAAAGACAGAAAGAAAGATATTTCATTTGCTGCTTCATTCCCCAAATGGCTTCAATGACCAGAGCTGAATGGATCCAAAGCCAGGAACCCCCTCTTGGCCTCCTTTGCAGGTGCAGAATCCCAGAGCTTTGGACCAACCTCCACTGCTTTCCCAAACCGTAAGCAGGGAGCTGAATGAGAAGTGGAGCAGCCAGGACACGAACCAGTGCCTGTGTGGATGCTAGTGCTTGTAGGCTGAGGATTAGCTAGCTGAACCGTCATGTTGCTGACTCGGCAATGAAGAGATGCATGAATACTTCATTCCTTTATATGTATCTGAGTAATATTCTGTGGTGTGGATTTATTCAATTTCATTTATTCTGTAATCAACTGAATTGTTCCTAGCTTTTTTGGTGAATTTATGCTTTTTGACTGATATGAATATGATTGTGAACAATTAGATATAAGTTTTTAAACAGACATATATCTTCAGTACTCTTGGAATTCACAGGTCAAATGGTAGTTCTACTGTTAAGGAATTTTTGAGGGCTTGCTGAACTCTTTTCCAAAGTGACTGCAACATTTTATATTCCCATTAGCAATGCATAAATGTTCCACAGAGTCCACGCCGTCACTGCCACCTACTATTCATCTTTTTTACTCTAGCCATCCTGGTGAGCATAAAGGGATCTCGTTGTGGTTTTATTTTTTAACTTGAAATTCTCAGGTGATGAATCATGTTAGTTGGATGTTCCGCATCTTTTCATTGTCATTTCTAGAAAGTGTCTGTTCAACCAATAGAGTATCTTAAAATTTAGTTATTAAGTTTTACGTTTTTTTTTCCTGGATGTTAGTCCTTTATCAGATACATAATTTGCAGATATTTTCTTCTATTATGTGGATTATCTTTTTACTTAATGCTGTATTTTTTTAACATTTATTTATTTATTATTTGAAAGGCAGATTATTTTTGTAGAGAAAAGGAGAGATAGGAGATCTTCAGTCTGCTGGTTCACTCCCCAAGTGGCTGCAATACCCAGAGCTGAGCTGATCTGAAGCCAGGAGCCAGGAGCTTCTTCAAGCTTTCCCACGTGGGTGCAGGGTCCCAAGGACTTGAGCCATCTTCCACTGCTTTCCCAGGCCGAGAGCAGGCAACTGTCAGAAGTGGAGCAGCCGGGACTCAACACCAGCAACCATTTGGGGATGCCAACAGTAGCAGACGGAGGATTAGCCTGTTGAGCCGCTGCAGCAGCTCCTGCCTTTTCACTTTCTTAATGGTATCATTTATGCCACAAAGGCTTAAAAATTTGATCAAGTATAAGTTTGTGATCTTGACAAAACTTCTTATACTGATTCTAAAGCTTTTGGTTGATTTTTTTTTTTTCAAAAACAATTCTCAGCAGGCACATCAATACAAAGGATGTGCTGGCTCTTAACAGGTTTTGGTTCTTATCTCTCCATCACTAATAGCAGCAGTTCCATCTCCCCCATACAAGAATCCTAACCGATAAAGACAGTATTTATTGCTGCTCAGATGAAAAAGCAAATGCCGCTGGTCACACGTAGGAGTAGAGGATATTTATGTCTGTGCATGGGAAACACATGGTCAGTTTCCTAAACAAAGCAACTGCTTTTTACTCTCAGCCTTGTAAGGATTTCTTTTTTCCTTCTTTAGCCAGGCTCTTAGGTTCTGAAGTCTTTCTCCTGCGTATCTTTTCTTTACCTTTCCTGTCTGCTCGTCATGCTCAGTTGGGTCATGTGGAAAATGTGATTTCAGTGTGACAGGCTCAAGTATGCAGAGCTAGGTCAGGAATGGTCTTATCCTGAAATCATCTCATTGGGGGTTTACACAACACTTGATCCTGTTTCCTCCGAGTCATGCCAACCTGACGGAGCAACCAGGTTTTCAGAGTCCCTGTTTGGCGTTTTTCCCTTGAGTTCAGATTTAGCCCCTTGGTGTGGATCATGATTTTCCACTTGGTTAAGCTGAGCCCCGATGTAACAGTTTGCCTGAATCTCATTTGACACAACATTTCAGATCTCCATTCAAGGCATTCTTCTTTGCCCTGAGAACTTGGGCTCAAGCATACTCTACTCCTGAAACTCTTCTGGTTGGCTTGGCGTCTTTGTCTGAGCCCTTCGGGCTGGCTCAGTGCCACATCTCTCTTGGTACTTCCTTCCATCACTGGGTATCCTGTCCCTGTGCTCTTTTTTGTCTCTGAGTTCATTCAAACCTGTAGAAAAATGCATTTAGCTAACACTTTACAATGGTTCCCATCCAAGGCTGTCTGGGTGCTGTCAAGTGCTAGTCTGGGCTGGGAATGGAAATAAGAATTGGGGAAAGAGCCTGTGTGTTTTCTCACAGACTGTGGAGTATGTAGGCCAAGAAGAATTAGACTACACTTTTCTAATTTCTGAAGAGTTTATTTGGTAATCTACTATGGTATGACAGTTCTAAGATTCTCCATGTTTTTAGCATAAAACTAAGGTTCCAGAGCCTGGCATGGTAGCCTACCAGCTAAAGTCCTTGCCTTGCACATTCCAGGATCCCATATGGGTGCTGGTTTGTATCCCGGCAACCCCACTTCCCATCCAGCTTCCTGCTTATGGCCTGGGAAAGCAATTGGCCCAAAGCCTGGGAACCTTGCACCCATGTGGGAGACCCAGAAGAGGCTCCAGGCTCCTAGCTTTGGATCAGAGCTCAGCTCTGACCTTTGCGGCCACTTGGGGAGTGAATGAACAGAAGGAAATCTTCCTCTCCTCCTCCTCTCAGGATATCTGACTTTGTAATAAAAATAAGTAAATCTTTTTTTTTTTAAACTTATGTTCTATCCAAAGAGGAAAAGGATATTGATTCACGTGCCACCTCCTCAATGTCATCCCATCAATATTGCACATGAGTTGGGAAAACCCAAGCCCATCTTTGGCCTTAGCCCACACATTCAACTCTATACAATGATAGGCAGTTCTCCCCTGCTCCTCCCCTTGGAAGGTTACGTTTGGGGGGTCTGGGAGAGAGGCACCCCCTACCTCTCCCACCTATGGCCTTGGTCATAATAGGTTGTTAGTCTTTGACTTACCACTTGTCTTCCATGCTCCCACTAGCAATTTCCCTGACAGAAACGCTATTTATTATGTGCTCCCCTGGCAGAAATACAGTATTGATCCTGTTTGCTGAAGTAATAAACTTCTCCATAAGTCCAGGTCCCCTGAACAGAGGTGCCCATCTGCACTTCCTCCTGAGGTTTCTTAGAATGAAGCTCCCGAGCAGCCTAGGAAAGCAGGCACCTGCAACAGAATGGGGCTCCTTTCCGCTCTCCTTTCAGCCCTGGTCCCCGGCGCTGACATGGGCAACAGTTCTGGTGCTCTCTTTGGAAGGACATGTCCGCAGCAGTCCCAGCCTGCTCTGGGCTTGCTGTACGCCTGGGGCTCCCCAGGGTATGGCTTCCCCCACGCAGGGGACTGCAGACACAGGCCTGCTCTCAGGGTGTTGTGCGTGGGTTTCCTTCAGCAGGCATCCATGCTCATGGTATCTCAGAGTATGAGATTACTCACAGTCCTGAGGTGATTGATTTGACCATCAATCAGAAGCTGCCTGATGAGTTATTTAGGAAGAGAACTTTCTGGCTTCTTGTAGCTCAGGGGACTGAACCTCCATGCAGAGTCTTCCTCACTGACATTTCCTAAGGCAAGTTAGGGATGGTGAGCACCCTGTACGGGAACAGCTATTTTGTGGCCAAGGCCAATCTCATGAGAAAGAGCTAGCTCATTATACGAAGTGGACAGCTGGGAGGGCTTTTCTTTTTCCATTCGAGCATAACACTGTATTAATTTTGAGAGCTTCTTAGATACCAGTTAGCTTTTAATTTTTAAAAAGGCATGTGGCAGGCTTTTGAAACCTATTTCTCATTTTTAGACCCCTGGTCCCCACTTGCTTTTATTATCACTTCCATTGCTACTGTCACCGACTCTCAAGATGCATCTTCTCAGAGCGGACACAAATGCCTTCCCATTATGCCCCTGTTGAGAGCACTCACCATTGAAAATCACCTCCTCAAAGAGAGTTACTTTGCTCACCGAGTTCCTAACTAGAACCTGGTAGTCTGATTTGTACTGTGTGTGCGTGTGTGTGTGTGTGTGTGTGTTGGAGAGTTTTTGTTGTTAATCTGACTTAACTTTGGCTTCTCCCATTGCAGTCACTGGGTTGAGCTACAGTCAAGCAGGTGGCACAGATAGTGAACAAAGGACTTCCAGTGACCACACCTACGTTTCCTCGACATTCACCAAAGGAGAGCGGACATTACTGTCCATTACAGATCAGGGTTCATCCTCGGACGTCCAGGAAAGCTCGACCTCTTACACCAAGATCTCCAACTCATCACATGTAGACTATCCTTCCCCTTCTCATGCTCAGACTGGAAGAAATATCATCTCATCCTATCATGGGGAGTACGCTCGGCATTCCACTGAGTCCCTGGTTCTGCGTACATCTGACCTTCCGTCTTACACATCCACCTTGAATGTGCCGAACACTTTGTTTTTTCTGGATACCAATGCTCAGTCTGTTAGTGATTCCTCTTCTTCCTCTGCAGGGCTCCCTCTGTCTCCACCCTCGGTGTCACAGTCCCATCAGATGTTCTTACCAACTGTACCATCAACAGGGGCCTCGGTGTACCCACTGAGGTCCACTTCGGAGGCATCTGGCCCCCTCTCTCCTTCCCCATCACCTTCGTCAGTATCCCTCATGGCATCTAGCCTTGCCCCACTTTCTGTCTCACAAACAGCCTTACCATATTCACCTTCCACCCCAGTCCTTCCCAGGGTCAGGGAGACATCTGTGGCCTCAGTTCAGACATCCACAGGGACATCATCCATGGCTGTGCTCTACAGTAGTCAAACAGCAGACCCTGGAAACCAGAGTATCCCATACCAAGAGCATATCAGCACACAACCAAAATCACCAAGCCTTGTGCCTCTGCCCACCGAGCCCACCAAAACTGTGAAAATAGGTTCTCCTTCAGGGTCCCCTTTGCCTACAGCCTTACCAGAGTCCCCCACCAAGCCAACCGTTCCAGCCACAAGCACAGTCATGGCTCAGACATCTCCAGATTTGACAACTGCTGCTCTTGGGACCTCTCATGCTCCCGCCTCCAGTATGCTGCCTAGCACAGCAGTTCTGATGACTGGCCCTGTGGCTGCACAGACAACAGCTGGAAAACAGCTCTCCCCAACCCATCCTGAAATGCTGGGGCCACGTATTCCAACAGAAGGTGCCACCACCACGAAAAGAAACCAGGTGCATGTCGATGCTACCACCCAGTGGACCCCTCTGACCAGTGCACCTACATCATCAGCACAAGAGTTGACCACGAGCCTTGGTGTGATGGAAGAGGATAACACAGCATCACAATTCTTCAAAACATCTACTCCCCAAACTACAGATACCTCTACAGCTGAAACATTGGCCCCTAAACCTTTCACCTCTGTTGTTGAGAGCAGCACTCAGTCACCACCGATAGTATCCTCTCCAGCCTCAGGTGAAAATGCATCTTACAAGCACACACTGCCTTGGGCTTGGGATTTGCGTGAATGTGTAGAAATAGTATCTAGCATCCTGTCTGTTTTAAATATTTCCTGTTAATGCATAAAAGAGGACCAAAGTGGGACTCATGTATTTTTATCCTCAAGTTAAATAACCCTTGCTGAAGACAGTAGAAAAACACTGGCTGATGTGACGTCAGTACATATAGCAGTTGTGCCTTCTCTTAGCCCGTAGTTGGGTTTTTTTTTTTTTTTTTTTTTTTTTTTTGTCACTACAACACATCCAGGATAAGCTAGTTAGGAAGAGAAGGTTTATTGAGTTTTGGAAGTTTATTGTGAGAACGGGTGGGCTTCTTGGTTAGGGTTCTAGTAAAAGTGGCTGGTGGCATTGGCAAAGCATTTAAGAGGAAGGATCAATGGGGCAAGCCAGGAAACAGAGTGGCTGGGAGCAACGCGGGCTTTTACAAAAACACTATGGTGAGAATTACCTGTTGAAGACACCTTTGATAACCTGAAGACACCCCTCCACAGCCTGGCCCACCTCCTAAACACCGTGACTGGATTCAGTCTCCACCCTTTTTGTACCATTAACCGACAGCTTGAGCATTGAAATAGCTGAGTGAGTTTGGGAGCCAAATCATTCTCAAGCCACAGTATAGCTTTTAATACTTTGACTTTATTGAGGTCAGAAGCAGACTGTGATGAGGGCAGGAGAACCTGAAGTGAGGCAGTTTAGGAGCAGCGTTCCTAGATCAGCTCAGAGTTGCTGTGGTTCATTAAATGCATGCACTGTGGTTTCAGTGAAGTCTAAGAGGAAAGGCCAAGCCTGTGTGCCCACACACACCCCCCTGCATGTGCTCGTACAGGCATTGCAGATCTCACAACAGCAAGAAGTTATCAGGAGTCCTTTTAGCACTTAATGTGCGTTTTAAGTTAGCATTGATTCAAAGTAAAAATTCTCTCCCAAAGTTGATAATATCATTAATCCTGAACTCTGTAACCTTCATGTTGCATTTGGTTTGAACTAATTCTCAGAGATCTAGTTGTGTAATGTTTATGTATGGGTCCAGCCTAGTATCAGTATCCAGACCCCCTGTACCTGCCATTGGCGCCTGTTGGGAACTGTCACTATGTTAGAAGTGTGGCCTTCAGGATAAGTACACATTGATAAGCAAAATGAAATATTAGCTGGGAGAATTAAATGTTTACCGAAAGCTGCCTCGGCATTATCTCTGTGATTAACTGTGTTTCTCTTGGAATATCTGTTTAGTCGACAGGTGCGCCCCAAACCCTTGTCTTCATGGTGGCAAGTGCATCATGGAGTCCTCAAGCCGTGGCTATCGATGTGTGTGCTTGCCTTCCTGGCAAGGGAATAACTGCAGTGTGGGTAAGAGAAAACAGACTGCTCGGTGGGCTGCACTGCAGTATTAGAACAGATTATTCAGAAAGCTCCTTTTTCCTCTGATGCGTAGAATTCTAAAGTCAGGACCCTGCTTACCTGAGAGTTTGCATGTTTGTGTGTCATTTGCAAGATATCTGGTAAACTGGCTGACCTGGGTTCATTCTGCAGTCTTGCTGTCCTCCTGCAATGCTGAACAAACCCCACTTGCTGTGCCTTTGACCTCTGCTGGGCTGTGCCTCAGCCTGGAATTCTTACCCACACACCTCCTCGTTCCAAGTCCTAATACTTCTAGTCCATATATTATTTGGAACAAGCTTCAATATTTATTCCATCAAAATATGGTAGTTTCTCCAAACCCTGCCATGTACTCAAATTGTTTGTATCATTCTCATCACCCTCAATAGATGGTTGGCATGGATGAGGACAGTGTTGGGCTCTTGGTCATCTTGGGCTTCCCCCGCTGTACTTGCCCCCATTTGGCCGTTAGTGCTAACAGTACTGGATCCTGGTTTTGCCATCTGCCACGGCTTCCATGTGGCTTTGTTTTGTTTTTTCTCCTCTGCAGACGTGAATGAATGCCTCTTGAACCCCTGCCCACCCCTGGCCACGTGCAACAATACTCAGGGATCTTATATCTGCAAATGCCCAGTTGGGTACCAGTTGGAAAAAGGAATATGTAACTTGGGTAAGAGAGTTCATCTCTGTTGAAATTTATTTTGTACTACAATGTCTTTTACAAAATAACATTTACTATTTTTCTCCCTCATCAAAACCAACATTTGTCCAGAGTTAAAACTGAAGTGATGCAGAAGGAAGTGAAAGGCATTGCCTGTCATTCTACCAGAGATACAGCACTTTGCAGTTTTTTTATGTGCATTGAATTTATACGTCACTGAAATCATACCAGTACAAATTTATGTCTTAAACATTTCCCTTGTATTGTTAAAATATTATAGAACATCCAATGCCATTATTTGTGCATAGCATTATTTGCTTAGCTATTCCACCTATAGTTAGGGAAAAAATATCTTAGAAGTATTATGACTACAAAAAAAATGTGTGTGTATGGAAGAGAAAATTAAATCTTGATTTTCTACCACATTCACACATTCTTTTGATTTCTATAAATGATCTTCATGTTCTTGTTCAAAGCCAGATAGATTTTTGACAAAGCCACTGCTGTAATTGTAGGACTCAGTTTGGCATAGTTTATTCCCTGATCTGCTAGATTCATGAAGCTGGTTGGCTTAAAATGTAATCTCCATTTGCAGATTTTAAAAAGGGAACAATCAAAACCAAATGAAAATTTTGACAAAGTGCTAAGTGGCCAAATACATGTAACTGGTTGATAGGAGGTCTAGTTTCCAATTTACAGTTCTTTGTGTCATACCATAATATGTTAAGCCTAAAAGCTTTTTCATCTACCCTTATTAGTATGCTGAGTTTAATACAAAACTTGTTGAAGAAATTAGAAATGAAAAGTAGTTTCTAAGCTGGGTAAGGAAACTGGCCATTAAAATAACTGATCTTTGAGTTACTCTAAATTGGTCAGTGTGACACTTGATGCAGTGATGTGTCTTACTGAAATAACTATTGAGAAAGCACATGCCCGTGTCCTTGGGAAGTTGGTACCCTGCTAAAATAAGGAAAGAATTTTGAAAATCACTTCAAATATAAGGTTTAGCTCAAAGCATTGTTTTCAATAGGAAGGATCAAGAAACATAGACATCAGAAAATCAAGAATTTCTCTGATTTTTTGGAAGTGATTTTGTTTTGAACCATTGTGGAAAGTACCAGTGCTCAGGCCTCCAGTGCCTGCCTTCTGTCTCTGGGGCACATGGCCCATCTGTAAGAACAGATTATCATCTCTCTGCTCCCTACTCAGGATTGCTCTGATAGTCAAGTACAATCAGTGGACCAGTTTTGGAGAATGGTAGAGCTGTCCAGCTAGCAGGTGTCATTTCAACAATCTTTGAGCCCTTGGACCAGAATTGGAAAGCTATGAAAATAGTCAAGTGTTCTGAATACCAAGGAATAATTTTAGCTCTTTCCAAAAAAAAAAAAAAATCATTTCAGTCTCTCCCATAGAAAAATCAACAGTGAGATTTAAAGTAAATATTTGCCTTAAGGCCAGAGAATGTAACTGCAGGTGTGAAAGTATAAATAGCTTTCAAGAAACTCTGCCTTAGCGAGAAACTGGTGCATCTTCACATCCACGGTAAAAGCAGAGGCCGTGTTTACTGTAGCTGTTCCCCTAGAGATCTGTGTGGCTCACATTAGCATTTAGGACCTGGGGATGGCAGCGGTAAAGACGAAGGAGTGGAGGATGTTCTGCCAGCTGAGTGTCCCCCAGGTTGCCAGGGGGCCCTGGAGGAGAGCAGCTCTATTGTGTTAACAATCATCTTTCCCTTTTCAAGTCATTTAGCTCCATTGTTCATAAAGAGCAGAGGAACATGCAAATTAGAGCATGTTGAAATGCTCTCATTTGGCCAAGAATGTTTCCAAAGAGCTCCCTGCTGTTCAGAAAGAGTCCTAAGCAGCTGGCTCCACTGAACTGTAGAACAAGCAAAAAGATGTTAAATAAGGATTAAGGGCTTTAGACTGTAAGTATAAGATGTTAAATGTTTTCCCTGGCTCATTTGTGGGCCTTTTTCTTCATTCAGCATGCAAGCTCTCTGTGAGAGCACGGCTTGATGCGCTTCTGTGTTTTGGGCTCCTCTTTTTCTGTCCAAAGGGAAAGATGAGAATTTAATATAATGAAAGATAAGAGCCAGATATATAAAGCAGGCTGTACTAATTTTTGTGAGACCCATTCCCCTCAGGCCCAATCAGTCCAAATTGGTGTTAACTAGAATTTTATTTTATGAGTGAAATGGGCCCTGGAAATAGGGCTGCCTTCTTTCCTTTCTGAACCCAAAGCATCTTGAGTACAGGTTGTCTTCTTTATGTGACTTTGAGTTCGGGGGCCTGGCAGTCCCACGGAGGAGCAGCCCACCTCAAGCAGGTGATCTCTTTCTCTGAAGGCCTCTGGCTGTCCTTAGCCGAGGACCCCTCTAAGGACGGGGGCTAGAGTGGCAGAAGGAGCCCAACAGGTGGACACCTGTGACTCTACGCACCCATTCTGGCCCTGAGGGAGATTGGGTGATCTTTCTTGGGAAGTTTTCTGACCTCTGGATGTGTGGTTGGTTTTTTTTTCCTCTGTGATATTTTGAGCGTTTCCTCCATTCAGGAGGTTGGAGTGGGCTTCAATGACAAAAGGAAGCCTGGGTATCCCCCTGAAGTTGGCAGCTTACCTTGGCTGAAGATGTCAGAGAGCCAAGCTTTTCTCCTCCATCCACACCGCAGCCCTCTGAGGCCAGATGAACAGCTGTCTGTTCCTTCCACTCTTTCCTACCTCATGTCGTCTGGACCAGCTCATCTTCCTTCTTTGAGCATCTGTTAGGTGGGAGACCATCAGAGGGCTCTCTGAAAGCTGCTTCTCTCAGCAGCCCCCGCACGTCCACAAGGCAATGGTGCTATCTCTCACCTAAAAAGGTTCTTGGTGTAAGCCTGCTGCCCATCTCAGCAGATGCTCGCATTGCCTGAAAGGAATCTCAAAGAAAGAAAGAAAGGAAAAAGAACTACACAGAAATTGTCCTGGGAGGGGGAGTCGTGCAGCACGCCCCAGGGATTGACACAACCTCACAAGGTCAGCATGTCATCTGGTCTAACAGGTGATTGTTTTGTTTTCAGTTAGAACCTTCGTGACCGAGTTTAAATTAAAGAAAATTTTTCTCAATACTACTGGGGAAAAGCATCCAGACCTGCCTGAAGTTCAGAATGAGATCACCAAAACGGTACGTGTCCTGAAAAGCTTTTAGTCCCCTTTTTTAAGAACCTGCTTCATTAAGTCTTGGGGCCCACCTGAGGGTCAGCTCCTCACTTCTGTTACATTTGAAAGGGAAATTGAGTGACTTGAGCCACTAGGCCACTGCGCGGAAGCCCTGGCCTGATCTTTGAAAAGTGGATTAACAGACATTCCAGCTGCTGGTTTATTTCTGGTTTACTTCACAATGAAATAACAGCCTCTTATTGCAAGTCGAAGTCACAGCCATGTAGATGACGTGCGTGCATAAGAGCTGTTGGTGAAGAGCAGATGTTGCTGTCACAGGTTCCGCTGGCGTGCCCTGTGACCTTCTCCCTGTGTTTCCAAGTGGATTATACCAAAGGGGAATGGTTGGTTACACCTGAGTACTTAGGGTTGGGGAACTCACTGTACAGGTCATCTATAGGCTTCTTTCCCTCTTTGCTTTTTATCAGAAAACTGGAGAGGAGGAAAAATAGGAATAAAATGAAACTCGGACAGACAGGCTTTACTTTTCAACCACTTGGCTGAGTCGAAGATTTGGTGTTCAGAAAAGTGATATTTCCCATCAAAACAAGGTTTGGGGATTCATGGATTTTTGATGTCCATTCTAGCTGTTTGTACGGGTAGCAGTTTATATGTTCGTTAAGAATGACATGATTTTCATCAGTTCAGTGAGTGTGAAATTTTTTGGCCACAAGTTGGCCCTCAGCTTGCGTGAAGAGACTCGGAAAAGAGAAAACATAAGACAGTTGTACCATCAGTGTCAGAGAACTCACACAAAGGACAAAAAATCCCATGACTGTAATGTAAGTGGAGAAACCTTTACAGGAAGGCCAACTCCCACATACCTTAGAACATTACAGAGACTGAAAATGTCCCATGTATTGAAAAAAACTGGCAAAATCACATCTCAGAAGGTGTTAGGCAATCACATGATGAAATAATACTGTCACGGAGACTGGCTGTTCGTTCTTCGGAAATTCTTTTTCGTATTACCCGTGTTCAGATTTCCCATTGTAGTGAATGGGATCAAATAAATTAACTATGCTTTCATGTATAAATTTTGCTGATGCATATTAAATCTGCAATATTTATTTGAAATACTAGCCTCATCAATGAACAATCACTTAGTATACAGCAGTTTTATTGTTAAATAGCAATTACTCAGTATACGCTGTTAGCCCATTGGGCCCAGGGGCAGGCAGAAAACCCCGAGGTGGTGCCAAAAGTTCCCGCCGAGAATAGCCATCCTGGACTCATTTAGATGGAGCCAACCAATCAGAAGACAACACATACCCTTACTTAAGCTCCATCATTGCCACGACTCAAGAAATGCATGGCTTAATCCGGGGAACCAACCCCAAATAAAAGCCTGGTTCTATCATCACTTTGGTCTCGGTTGTCCTGCTGTTTTGGTGTGGTTTTTACCTAACACAGGACAATGCCCAGGATTGCTTCCTCATAGTATTGGAGTGTAAAGCAGTGGTATGAACACAGATATGTCCACTGACACCTATGCTGGTCATAACTCTGTACCCCAGCTCTGGGTGCGGGTTTTTCCAGCCTGGGGAATGAGACGCTGCTGACCGTGTACAGTCATGAGAATCTTCAGCTCAGCTGTATGCAGGCCTGGACTGGCCTACACTGTCGCAGATCTGTTTGAATCGTCAGTGAGGAGTCGTTCCCCACACCTCCCTCTTTCTGTACAAGGACAATGTTAGGCACTCCTTCTCTCGAGTTTTTCTGTATTGCTGAGTGTGTACAATCCCTTTAAAAATCTCTATTTTTTTTCATCAAGTTCCTTCTTGCCCAGAGGCAACATATTGGACTCCGGTCCAGCCAGGGTGTGCTTCCAGCAACAGAGAAACCAATATTTAATTGTGACACTTTCTGGTATTCATGTTACTCCACAGTGATCTTATTTTAATATTTTTGGCTATTATCCCTCCCTTCTCAGAGTAACCATCAGTATTATCGGAAATTTGTGTTTTCATCCCTTCCCCATTTCCATGGTCCTTTGTGGGTTTCAGTCGGATTTTCATTCAGCTCAGGTCTCAGGATGGGTTGCCTCAGGATGGACAATTTGCCAGGGCTGTTTAGCTGTTCCTTGGTGACCAGGCTACAGACGCTATAATGACCAGCCAGCTGCAAGAGCTCTGTATTTTGGGTCAAGAAGACAGTCCTGCCAGGCTTCCCTTTCCTTCCGCTGCTGCTCATTGGGAACAACTCATTGACCCTGGTCAGGTTCCGTGGGCTTCTCCCAAGTGTTGAACACAAAGTGCAGACCTCATATCCCAGGATGATCAGATACTGAACGGAAAGCAAACCACTTAGATGATGGCAGTTTCCACGAGGTCAGGTGGCTTACTGGACTGGTGTTTTATTGGTTGCCACTGGGGTAGCAGCTGGATTACTAAAGTCTCGTTTTTGCCAATAGCATGTGGCTGATAATTTTTTCCTAGGCTCTGAGATAAATTGTGCTTTTCCCATGGAATGTAGAAATGTTATCATGAAAACCTTTCTATGTGTGATTAAGAATTGCGAGATTAGGTTAGCCAAGGTTTTCCATGTAAGCCCTGCCTACAGTCTCACATGCGCTCCTAACCCAGAGGCAAAGAGAGGTTTATACACCAAGAGCCTGGAATGCTGGTGTGACCACAAAGGCAAGGATAAAAGTGATGTAGCCGCAAAGACAGATGCTACAAGAAACTGGAAGTGGCAAGGAACAGATGATTCCAGACTGAATGGGGCATCAGCTCCCTCCATTTCACCTTGAGCCCAGTGAGAGTGATTTTGGATTTTCAGCCTTCTAATAGTGATAGAATATATTTCTCTAATTTTTTAAAGATTTATATTTATTGTAACTCCCAATTTACAGAAAGAAGGAAAGACAGAGGAAAATCTTCCATCCTCTGGTTCACTCTCCAAATGGCCACAACAAAAAGAGCTGAACCCATCCAAAGCCAGGAACCAGGAGCCTCCTCCAAGTCTGCCACGCAGTGCAAGGTCCTAAGTAGTTGTGCTGTCCTCCACTGCGTTCCCAGGCCACAAGCAGAGAGCTGGATGGGAAGTGGAACAACCAGGACACAATGGGATGCCACACTTAAGTGGTGGAGGATTAGCCAGTTAAGCCATTGTTCAGACCCCATATTTCTCTTTTTTGAGCCAGTAAGTTTGTGATCCTTTCTGGCAGTAGCAATATGTGAGTAGATTCTCTGGCTACTTGAATCTGGGAAGTTACTGCAGTTCCATGGAACAGACAATTACAATCTCTAATGGCAGAAATCAAGACTGATCAGATTGAGAAACTTGGCAAAAGTGCTGCTGGGGTCGTGATTGGTAGCTTCCAGATCCACATATTAACACAGGGCAATTTTTTCTTTAACAACTTGTTTGTTGGGTAGTGAGTGAGCTGTGTGGTATGCCTTTAGAAGCCATTTCTTAGGTCTAGATGGAGTGGTTTTTGGTTTGGTTTTTGTTGGTCTTTTTGTTTGTTTGTTTTTCTAATGGTTCTAATCACTAATGCCTCAGTGAATTCCAGTAAAAAAAAAAAAAAAGAATTACGTGTTTTTTAAGGACTGAGGGTTTTGTTTGTATAAATTATAGATTCCGATTCCATTTCTGTGTCATGGTGGTACCCACCCTGTGACAAGGACTCTGTGAGATGGCTTACTCCCTCTCAGAGGTATTACAAACATCTGTGCAGATTGGAGAACAGGAGCCTCCAGAAATTAATGGCATTGCCAAGTTGGGGAGCAGTCCAGGCCATTCTTCCTACTAATATCAGTTGTAAGTTTGGGGAGTCCCAAGACCACCCTCAGGTTTCACCAGATGGACTCCCAAAACTTACTGGAAGCTATTGCCCGCTCTGATTCATGGATCATCACACTGATGTGCTAATGTGACAGGTTGAAGTCAGCCAAGAGAGATGCTTGGGGCGGGGTCCTGGAAGGTCCCACACCCACTTGTCCTACCCCTGTGGAGTCAGGACAGTGTACACCCTTCTCAGCAGCTGTGTATGACATTATGCACGAGTGTTGCCAGCTCTAAGGCTTGTTTGAGCACCAAGGTTGGCCACCTGTATTTGGGTTCTGCTTTGTAGAAGTGGCAACTTCCCTCCTGCCCCCAAGGCTTACCTGTCTCTAGTCTCTATGAAGACTGAACTGTTGACCTAAAGGCCCCACCACAGATCATGTGGTTAGACTTTGGGGGGCTTCAGGTTGCCAGGGAAACCAAGACAGTTTTATAAGTCGGGGAATTCCAGGGACTTGGAGGTGACCTCACAGAAGCCAGTAACAAAGTCCTACCATCTCTTTGGTTAAGGTTAAGTTATTTCCACATAGCAGGGTTATCTACAATCCCTGCCCCTGTTGTTCTTGCAGCTGTACCACAGCTGCTTCGTGGGGTTGAGAGTCCAGTGCTGAGAGCTCTAAATATGCCACAGAACCCAGGGACATATCTGACTCATTACTTTTGGCCCAGTGTCCATGTGTAATTTAACAATCCTGCTACATACCTGCCTCCCATGAAACAGTGAAGCCCACTGACCAGGGAAGCCACTCCAGGGGTCTTCCTGAGATGTCATTCTGTTTACCAATCATACCTGTTGGGTTTGGGCTCTGTGTGTGTGTGTGTGTGTGTGTGTGTGTGTGTGTGTGTGTGTGTGTGTGTGTGTGAGTGTGTGCGTGCAGTTCATTCTAAGAAGCAATATTGCTATTAGACTACAAAACAATGTCATACAAACGCCAAATAACTTTGATTATAACCTCTGCAGTCTGAGAAATCATTGAGATCTTGGGATTTGAAGACAGGTAGGTCTGCCTGGGTCAAGACAGGAAGAGCAGAGGAGCAAGCCAGCAGGCACTGTCCCTTTGTGTCCCAGGGTTCAAGGCCAACGCAGGGAGTGTAGTTCTTCATTAGCTCCCAACAAAAGGACTGTTGACCCATGTCATGTAATTTCCCATGGAGAGCCCTCCTGCACAAGACCCATCTTGAAATGAGTCAGCTCATTGTGAGTTATGGGGAAGGGATGAGGTCTGTGTGGGGCCCAGCAAACCCAAGCTAAGTTTGCAGTGAAGCTCATTGTCTGTGCAAAGGCCAAGCAAACAGTTGCCTTTGAATTGTTTCAGACCCCGGATCTTAGGAGAGATCTGCTCCTTTGAAGATGTTTTGCATCCAGGGATGCAGTTCTGAGCATCATTTCCTGCCCAAGATTTTCCCCATTGATTGGCTCTCTGCCTCTCTCCCTTTATACTTTTAAAACAGCAGAAAGCATTTAAGAAGGAGAAAAAAAAAGGCACTTTTGTGTAAAAGCTGACTGCCAGTAACTTGATGACTAGAAAATGCCTATTTTTTCCTGAAAATAGGAAGTGCAAGGCTTTGGTCTCACTCGCAGTTAATGATAAACCTGTTCTTCCTTTCAGTTAAATATGTGTTTTTCACCGTTACCTGGGTACATACGATCCACAGTTCACGCATCTCGGTAAGTAACAGAATCACATTTGATTATGAACCCTTTCATGGGACGGGGGAGGCTTGTTCTAACCTGGGAAGAAGCAACCTGAAGGCCAAAGTCACTGCACCTTCATGCTGTCCCCTGCCCTCTCTGAACAGTGGCCAGGACACTTCACTTTCCAGAAACACTGGGGGCCCACATGCTATCCTAAAACAATGGAAACCCTGTCCCCTTTGCCTCCAGGGAATCCAGTGTGGTGGCAGTCTCCTTGCAAACCACCTTTTCCTTGGCTTCCAACGTGACCCTGTTTGACCTTGCCGATGGGATACAGAGATACGTCAACTCCTGCAGGTCCTCTGCTGAGATCTGCCAGCTCCTGGGGTCTCAAAGGCGGATCTTTAGAGGTAAGGCAGGAATCCCGTGGGGGGACCCCACCTGTTTGTTCAGTTAGGTGCAGGTCTAGCAGAGAAGTGTAAGGCCCCTGGAGCTCAGACCCAGGAAAACTCTACGCAGAGCCTGTGTAGAGTGGGAGTGAAGCCGGAAGCCTTGGTGTGTATATGCACCTGTGCACGTGTTGTGTCCTGCACACACAACACCACCAGCTTCTGTGCAGTTGAGGAGAGGATATAGCAGCTGATGGAAGAAGGCGGAAATTGCCCTTCCGCAATCTCAGGGAGGACTTGAAGCTCACACACACAGTGTCTGTGCTTGCCCGTGACATACTAAGGCAGTGAGACGAACACATGGAGAGTTGCCCATCTTGCTTGGTTGTGTGTTTGGAAATCATGAATGCGTCTAACAAGATGAGATGAATGTAGGCCAGAATGTTCCCCTTGGTGGCGATGATGATGCTTCTCCTTGCCTTGCTCTTGCTTTGTTTTGTCACTAGCTTCCACAGCGTGTATCTGCTGTGAGACCAAGTGAAGAAAGAGATTGGAGACAGCAAATGCACAGGCAAATCTGGGTCCTGGGAACGTTTGGCCTCCAGGACAGGAAAACTGCCAGAAATCAAAGTGCTTCTTTGCAAAGGGGTATTGTCCCACTTACTGTGTCCCAAGTGATCCAGGTGGACTCTGGTTAGCTCATGTGACTACACTACTCGGGCTGGCAGGGGCATGCGATGTGGCCTGAACAGCTCCATCGGATGTGCAGAGGCTGGATGGAGGCTGAAGGTACTGGGGTTTAGTGCTATGTCTGCTTCTTTCATCTGGGACACACACGATGAGGGCTTTGTGGCTGCAGGGCCAGAGAGCCTTCCTCAGCCAGTCCTGGTGCCTCACAGCCTGGCAGTCAGATCGTTAACCTTGCGGTCTGGGATAAGCGCTGGAGTTTGGCCCCTTTAAGAACTAGTAATTAATCTAGGGAGGTGGGGCAGCGGGAAAGAGAAAGCTTAAACATTCTGGGGCTAAATTTGCCATTGGCTGGGGAATTAGTTCCAAAGTTCATGCCCCATTATATCTGGCCTGAAACCTTGAGGCTGTCCGGTTTTACTTTTTGCTTTTATTGCCAAGAAGTCAAGGGTAGATACCAGTTCTCCCTCCACAGCAAGGTTCAGCTCATGACATAACCTGTGCTGAAGTCTGTCCTCTGTGGCGACCATTGCACTGAGTCGTGGATTTTGTTCCCTGCAAATGCCTCTGCATCTCACGTGGCCCCATGTCTGGGTTTGTAAGAACCTGCCCACAGCTGCCCTGCCCAGTCTCCACCCCTCAGTCTTCAAGCTGCATACAGGTGTAATCCTGGCTTCCCTCATCCCTCACCTCTCCTTTCGGAGTCCTCGAGTGCAGAGGCACTCATGCCTATTGCCTGGAAACACATGCTGTCCTGTTTTTCCCACCAGGTTTTTTTCCTCAGGTTTTTTTTGCCAACATGTATAGCTTGTAGTCTCTCTAACCTGTCTGAGTGCTGAAGAGGTGGTCTTGACTAGGCAAGAGCTGTCAGGTTCTCTCAAGTGCTAGCATCCTGGTGGCCTACAGGCCGTGTGGGGCTCCTCTGGATACAGCCAGAGAGGAGGGCACCTCCCCCTTCTATTCTCACACTGCCGACTTCCTTGACTGCAGTTTTCATTATCCCTAGTCAGTTGCAGACATGGAAACCACCCCCCCCCACACACACACACACAGAATGTCTCAGCTTAGACTGACCCGAGTCCTCATTGTCTGCTTGGGCGGATGTTAATGGCCCAAGGAATGACCGAAGGGAATTGTGAATGGAGAAAAATGCCATCTCATTGGTCTTACAATGCCAGTGGTATTCTGGGTGGTTCTGTTTGATGGTGGCTGATGGAATGTTCTTTGAGGGTCTTTGCGATAGCAGCTCCCTCGTGGCAGAGTCGGAGCCTGCTCTCCGTGTTTACCATGATTCTACTTCTGTGAATGGTTGCCTTGGCCAGGCAGCTAGAGTTTGCCAGCAGATTGAACCAGTAGGAAGGGCAGAAGGAAGAACGGGATGTGGCCCTCCAGAAAATGTCTAATGAGACCAGAGACATGCCAGCCTGGACAACTCTGTGTGCCCTGGAGGCATTCCTTTCTATGAAGGTCGGAGAACTGGCAAAAAAAAAAAAAAAAGCTGCCAAAGAGCTTTAATGAGGGATTGTGGGACTTTGGCCCCTCCCTGGGGCCAGCTTTGCAGTATTTGCCTAGTGAAACTTTCTATTTTTCATCTCCGCCACCTCCCCGCCAAATACAAGCTTTTTGCAATAAACAAAGGAAATTCTGTCACACACACACAAATGGGCCTCTGATTTGGCATGCCAGCTTCCACTGATAAAGGCAGGAAATTCAGCACTGAGAACTGAAGCTTGTCCTAAGCTCACCTCCCCTAAATCCAGGCTGTCCAGTACCACCCCCTACCCCACCCCAAGTTCCCAGGACTCACCCAAAGTCCCATGAGCCAGAACCTGGTGGGTAGCAGGTGTTTTGCAGTGTTAACAGATGGTACCTGGTTTCCCAGTAGCTTGGTCTCTTTCTCATGATAGAGAGAGGAGACTGCGCCTGGCGAATTGGCAGACGTTCCTCAGTACGTGATATACACGGGGCACTTTGCCTTGCGGCTCTCTTTCCATTCCAAACTTGCCCTTGCCTCCCAGTGGCGGCAGCCGCAGCGCATACCCAGGCAGCATCCCCGGGTGTGGGTTTACCAAAGTTATTATTTATTATCCAGGTGATCACTTGGTTTGTTTCGGGCCTCCCTCCGATAGCCAGAGATACCCTCGTGTCCCATTATATAGCAGTTCATAAAGGACCACGAGCCCAATACTGGATGTTGGGGACAGGGATACATGGATTCTATTCATCCATGGAAGGAATGGGGTCCGAATGGGAGTGAGTTAGAAGCCTGAGTGATGGGCTTGTTCTCTGCCCACCTGTCATTCCTCTTGGTGGCAGCCAGGGTTGGTCCCTGCCTCAAATGTGTTCTGACCAATAAGAAAGACCTGCCAGCCCTGGGTAGGAAAAGGCTTCCTTCCCTTTTCAAGATTAAAAAAGTAATTTTTAATTGATACTCCACATAGTAAATCTCTGGTAGGCAGCACAGCAGGACACTGGGAAGGGGTGGGCAGAAAGCTAGCTGCCTGGCATAGGTACGGTGCTGGGTCCCTTTAAGCCATACAGACACCCAGAGCCAAGACAGCAGTTTTGTTAGGGGCAGTTCTGGTGAGTGCTAGCCATGCTTTGGTTCAAGTCTCTCGGCTTCTTAAGATCGCAGGCAGATGGTCAGATTTGGCCCCTTTTGATCTATTTCCAAGCCCCCTTCCCCACTCCATCAAGGGCTGTACTTACACTGGGTACCAGGGCCAGGGATGCAGCTTGTTTCTTCCCAGGTATCTGTGGGTCCAGGATGCACTGAGAGGGTGTTCTCAAGGGCGAGCACCTGTGGAACTGGAGTGATGGATGGGTGGAGCGGCAGGGAGGGAGGGGCAAGGGTAGCAAAGCGGACATCTCCAAGAGGAGTGCCGCTTCACGGACTCTTTCCTGGAGCTGGGCATCCTGTGGGAGGAGGGTTGAAATTTCTGTTTTGCTCCATTGTTGAGTGTTTCCATTGCAGCCGGCAGCTTGTGCAAGCGGAAGAGTCCAGAATGTGACAAGGAGACTTCCATCTGCACGGACCTGGACGGCGTTGCACTGTGCCAGTGCAAGTCAGGCTACTTCCAGTTCAACAAGATGGATCACTCCTGCCGAGGTAGCGACTTCATCCCCGGGCCATTCTGGGGAAGGATGGCAAACCACTCTGGCCTCTTTCCTTCGGGTTCTGGCTTCAACACTTGAAAACTGGGAGGGTGCTGGTGCTTGTTATTTTGCTCTCAGCAAGAGCTTGAATATATTATCTCCTTGGAATAATAGCGTTATCTCTGCCTAGTGCTCATGGATCCAACCAGTCCAATTCAAAGGAAAAGAGGAGAGAGTGTTGGTGGTAGCAACACCTTTCTTTCTTTCTCCCTTTTCATTTAGAGGAACTTAGAAAAGTTCTCGTTTTCATTTCCCAAGTTTCATCTGTTGTCTGCTAACCTTTGGGAATAGAAATGAAAGCATGGCACCAGGTCCGTCTCTTTCAGTGGCACCTGTGGCCCAGTAGGCAATATACTTGGCCAAGGCTCAAAACTGTGATTAAGAGCCTGGCTCTGCCTTGCTGATGGTATGTCGCCTTGGGCAAGTCCCTCAGTTTCCTCTCTTGAGAAATGGGTGTCATGGTTCTGTATTGGAGGCTGTGAGAATTAAAGAGGGCAGCCTCCTTGGAGGAACTTCCAAAGCTGTCAACATTAAACTAGTAGATTACCATTATTTTTAAAGGTTCTTCAAGTGTCTAGGAGCAGAAATCTAATTTTGCTAGCCTTTTAAGTGAAGCTTAAATTCATTTGGTTTGAGAGAAAGACTGTTCAAGGAGAGTAGTCTGAAACTATGGCTTACAAAAAAAAATGCATTCAAGTCCAAAGCACTGTGTACTCTGCGTTCCGGAAGATGAACACCGCTCTGTGCTCGGCAGAGGAACTGGCAAAGTAAAGGTCATCGCGTGGCCAGGAGCATTGCCTGCCCTTAGCATATGCGTGGCACAGATGTCCTGCTCACCCACACATTGCCAGGGACAGATGTACTGGGATCTGAGTGGAGGTCACGTACCGGGGCAGAGTGACAGGCCGCTTATTTTTGTCATCAGACATGATTTCCCATTAGAGGATTGATTCCATCAAAAGAAGATGAAAATGCATTTCAGGGCCGTGCTCTCATCCTGACCCTCTGACCTTGTTCCCGGGTGGGCTGTGCGGTGGGTCTTGAGGGAGGGCAGCCCTCTTACGTTAGATGTCAGTGGTGACGCATAGCCCGTCCGCAGCATTTCCCGGTCCTACACCAGTCTGCCGCTTTGCTACAAAAGGACAGAGCTTCCTACTTCCCTCTTCCCTGATGTAAAGAGAAGTGTTCTTTGGAGCAGAAATGGGGAGTTGATACAGCTTCAAGTAGGGAGGTGCTGGTGCTAGAATCCCTGTGAACTAGGGTGCTGTGCAGCTGGAAGGAGGTGACACAGGGTTGGCAGAAGCTTAGGCTCCGTACACATGGCAACCCCTGTGTGAACCACCCTGCCTGCCACCTCTGTTCCTGGCAGGCTTGAGCCACTCCCTCTGTTTCCAGGTCGGTGGGTTTCATAGTCTCCCTTCCAGCACAGCATTTAGAAACAGCTGAGCTGTCAGAGATTTGCCCGATGCAACCACTGACACGGGCACCAAGAGCCTTGTGTTTACCCAAGGAGCCACACAGGGAAAACGGTGTTCACTTTGGGCTTGTTGTCAAGACCCCTGGAGTCCCCTCTCTGCAGTGTCACCACGTCTCTGAGCTTCCTGGGCCACAGCCCCGGCAACTGGGCTCTGATGGGTTAGTTAGCAGCGACCCCTTCTGGCCAGTGTGCTGAAACACAAGCTTGTTTCTAATCATCCTACGTCTGGGGGTCAGTCCTCTGAATGGAGGACAGAAGTACGTGTAGGTCGCTGAAACATGAGTGTACATGAGCAGATCTCTCTACTTAGTTCTCTGTCGGTTACACACTTACACCTGTGCACACATACCTATATGCTCCTGGGTACTTCCCATGCAATGTCCTTTTGATTTCTTCAACCAGGTTTTGATCCAGTTAAGAAGTTCAAGTCGGTGTCCCTCTTGTAGGTTCCTAGCTTTCTTGCCATGTGCAGACAGCACGATGAAGTCTAACAATCTGTTTGCATCTCATCAGGCCACAAGTGCCTTGAGAGCCAGAACCGTATCTGGAATAGCGCTTAGCGCATGGTGGGGGTTCAACAAATGACTTTTGAAAGAATGCATGGGTAATAGGACAGCAAATATGGTAAGGAGAGACTGGGACAGCTTGATTTCATTTCCAGCAAGGGAACAAAAGAGTTTTTGAGACTGTCATTCCTCATTTATGTTAAGTCCTGAAGGCTTGGGTTTGCTTAGGTCCCAGGGCAGCCTTCGGGGGAAGGGGGAGTTTGGGCCTGTTTGTTGCCTGCTTAACACTTACTTCGTCTTTAGTCCTTTGACCTATATGAGGGCCTTGCCCACAGGATCCCCCAAAGCAGCAGCGCACGCACAGTCACTCAGTCTTTGATGAATGGCTGAGTCTGTTTGAAATAGAGGACCATCTTTACATCAGGGAGTCCGGCCACTCCGGAGGCAAAGTGCTAAGAGCCCAGCCTGCAGCTTGCAGGCAGGACACCGGATTTTGCTGCATCTTTGGAGCGGGAAGCTCTCACCAAACAGACTGAGGGGTACGGAGGTAGATCTGATCTGACAGCATTTCCAGGCAGACATACGTAGAATAGGACAGGCTGGGGTGGCATCGGCCTGCTTGGGTGCTGAGCTAGTGGAGGCCTGAGCTTCCCTGGGGCAGCTTACCCTACAGACAGAGCTGCTTGCTCCTCCTGTGCCAGTCCTTGAGGTGTGCAAAGCGGACCTGCCTCCCAGAGGTGCAGGACCTGCCTCCCAGAGGCAGAAGTGTTTGGCCTGCCTGATGGCACTACCCATGGGAGACCTGCAAGAGAACTCGAAGGAGTCAAGGAGGGAGAGATGGGCCCGTTTGTCCTTTCCTACCTGGAGTACACACACTGTGCTCTCCCGGATATACAAAGCACGTAATGAAACTAAGAAAGTACAGCCGCTTAAATGGGGTTGAAGGAGAAATAAACTAACTATTACATGGAGGCCAGAAGGAAAGGGAATATACAGGAAGGCAGGCCACTCGTTTGAGTTCTGAGCTTGCTAGACACTGAAACGAAGACACACTAATGGCTTTGAGAAGAGTCAGGGTCCCCAGAATCCAGGATAAATGCCTAGGAACACCCCCCTCATTCTAAGTAGTGAGACCAGGAAGACCTTCCTCCAGGCACCCCCATAAAGAGGTTAGTGCACGGTGGTGTTGTGGCCACGTCACCCCGCCTGCAGGGAGCTCCAGGACTGCTGCTGGTCACTAGGAGCCTTTAACACAGGCGCCTGTTGCTCGGGACAAAGGGAAGCGTTACAGTCCAGGTTCTCAGATCTGTAGCATGCAAGGAATTTGTAAAGCCATTTTTCATCGTCTGTTTTCACCTAGGCATTGTCCTAGCCTGTGGTGTTCTGGTCTCTCACTGTAATGCTGACAGTCTCAGAGGGATAGGCTTGGAAACTGCGGGTGCAGGGGGATGCCTGGGCTGCAGCTGCCCCGGCAAGGGGGTCCCAGGTTGTGTTCCTGGGGGAGGTGACTGTAAAGTTACACCTTGCACCGACTGTGGCATGAGCCTTCTCTTAGGAAGACCTGGCACCCACCAGGATGGCGCCACAGAGAATGTCCGCCATGGCTCCCTCCACCTCGCGGAGCGGGGCCAGCGGGACCAGCCTGGGGCTGAAGGTTTGATGTACATTAAAGGAGATGAAGCATCTATCTGTACAGGGAAGAGCACTCCGTAGGGACGTCCTTCATCTGTCCATAACTTCCAAAAAGAGTTGCAATCATTGGGTAGTCATTACAACCAAAGATATTTACTTAGCTGCTAGTTTGTGCTAAGCCATGTGCATGCAATGTTTTACCTAACCTCATCCAAGGAACTATCCAGCACGTCTTACTGTTATTCTTTTTATAGCTAGGAGATTGAGAACCACAAGGAGATGAAGGACAATTTCTTTTATTTTTTTTAAGATTTATTTTATTTTTTTATTGGAAAGGCAGATATACGGAGAGGAGAGACAGAGAGGAAGATCTTCCGTCCAATGATTCACTCTCCAAGTGAGCACAATGGCCAGTGCTATGCCGATCCGAAGCCAGGACCTTAACCATTGCACCATCGCGCCGTGCCCGACAATTTCTTTTAAATAAAAAAGGGACATTTATTTAGTTTTTGAATGGCAGTTACAGAGAGAAAGAGATCTACTTGTTGGTTCACTCCCCAAATGGCCACAACTGCTGGAGTCGGGCCTGGAGATTCCGGGTCCCCTTTGTGAGTTTAGGAGCCCAAGCATGGGGCCATCCTCTGTTGCTTTCCCTGGCACACTAGCAGGGAACTTGATATGAATTGGAGCAGCTGGGACTTAAACTGGTGGCCATATAGGATGCTGATGCCACAAGCTTTGGCTTTACCCACTATGCCACAGTGCTAGCCCCAAAAACAATTTCTTGATGAGGGTTAACAGTTAAACTGGCCACAGGATTTATAATCATTCTAAAGTTACTTGTGGCCTCCTGATTCTAGAATGCTCTGTGGACTTTAGGCATCTAACTAGGTTTGGGCCAAGGGAGGTGAACATCCGCATTCTTGACTTTCCCTTTTCTCTCTTTCAGCCTGTGAAGATGGATACAGGCTTGAAAATGAAACCTGCATGAGGTAGGCTCCACATCCTTTTATTCTGATGAATTTGTTACAGTCCTTCCTAAAAACTGCCTCCATTATTTGGAGATTTGAAACCAACTCTCACCCTCCTTTCTTTGTGCATTTATAGTTGCCCGTTCGGCCTCGGAGGTCTCAACTGTGGAAACCGTAAGTACAGAGCAGCGAGGGGTTTGCCTGGCCCCCGCCCGTGGTCAGGGAGCACAGGGTCTCTTGCTCTCCCCCTCTATTCCCCTTGCATGAGCTTCACTGTCTTCATGGGTCCTCGCTGGCCTCACTGGGGCTGCCCAGGGACTCAGGGCCTGGGGGAGACATGAATGTGAGTCGCCTCAGCTCTGCCAGGTGCTAATGTTTGATGGATTGGGACAGAAAGTGTGAGGTCTGCAGACAGGGACACCCCTCAACACCCACAGAAGGGTAGGGCAGCCCGAGCCTTCTCTGAGGTTTACAGCAAAGTTTGTAAAGCCTCTGGCTTATGGGTGTTGGAGTGTTACATCCCAGACAGATGGAGCCACCTAAAAAACAGGAGGCAGGCGGGGGCCCGTGATGCAGTGGGCACGGTATATGCGTAAGGGTGGCTGGAGGAAAGCAAGAAGGGAAGGTAGAAAGTAACACGTCAGGTTGGCAAAGTGTGTGGGCACTGAGCTGTGGGGGTTTTGGTCCTCGAGCTGAGGAGGTGAGCTTGTGGTTAGTGGCCAGCGGGGAGCTGCCCAGTGCTGGGACAGGAAAGCACGGTGAAAAGCAAGTGAGTCAGGTTGCAGTCCGCAGAGACTGGACAGAGAGCAGGCTCAGGTTAGAGACGTCCCGGTGGTTCCAGTGTGAGCTCAGGGCCTTGGCTCCAAGCTGGCGGTGATCATGGGCATGGTGCTCGCGGTGTCATTTGGGGACAGTGACTGGGACATTTTTGTCCCAGTGCTGCTTTTTTACTTTGAAACATTAGCAATTAAAGTGACCTACAAAATTATGGAAGAAAAATTTTTAAAGATTTTGTTTTTTAAATAATTAGTTATTTTTATTTCAATTGCATATATAAAGTGAGAATTTAGCCACTGAACCATTGCACTAGGCCCTGGAAAAATTTTGAAAGTTAGAAATACATTAGTATGTAACAGAAATAATAAGTGAACAAGTTGTTTTTTGTTTGATTGTTGGTTTGTTGTTGTTTTGGCCGGGGGTTGGGGGAGGGTGGAGTTATAGAGAGAAGAAGAGACAAAGATCTTCCCACCCATTGGTTCATTCCCCAAATGGCCTTAATGGCCATAGCTGAGCTGATCTGAAGCCAGGAACCAGGAGCTTCTTCCTGGTCTCCTGTGGGGGTGCAGGGGATTTGAGTGATCCCCCAGTGCTTTCCCAGGCCACAAGCAGGAAGCTGGAGCAATCAAGTCTTTATTGTAGGATAACTTTCCTTCATTTTACCCATGAGCATGTTCCAGTGGTTCATATTCTAAGTAGTCATGGTTTTATTTAATGTGGTGGAGGCCCTGTTCTCTTTTCCCCAATGCTATGCCTTACTTTTAAATGTACTGAATGATACTGTCATTGTTCATAGAGCTTTTTTTCTATCATCAAGTTTCAAATATTATTTCAATATATTCAGATTCAAATATTTCAAATTTGATATTAGGTACAAAACTGATATAAGCTAGTTATCTTGATGCTGGTACAATGGCTCATTGGCTGATCTTACCCGCTTTGATACCTGGGATTCCATATGGGCACTGGTTTGTGTCCCGGCTGCTTCACTTCCCATCCAGCTCCCTGCCTGTGGCCTGGGAAAGCAGTCAAGGACAGCCTAAGGCCTTGGGACTCTGCACCTGCGTGGGAGACCCAGAGGAAGCTCCTGGCTTCTGGCTTCAGATCAGCTCAGCTCCAGCTGTTGCTGCTACTTGTGGCTACTTGGGAAGTGAAAAGAAGATCATTTCTTTGTCTCTCCTTCTCTCTGTAAATCTGCATTTCTACTAAAAATAAATACATTTTAGGAAAAAAAGAAAAAAGAACGATCTGGTGTCCTCATCAAGAAGTTTCTCTAAGGCGACAGTATGGAGACCTGAATTACATACCCAATCAGGGTGATTATCCTAACAGCAGGCTATCAGTAGGTTATTATAGTTAGTCTAAGGACTAGGGAAATGGTTTATAAAAATAAATCTTTTTAGAATCACGTGACTAGAGAGGGAGGGGTACATAGATACAATTATTTTTCTGTTTTTTAAATTTTTTTAATAAAGGAAGTTTGTCAGTCCCTTCCTCTGTTTTATTTTTTGTTTGGTTTGAAGGCTCATTTATATTTGAAAGGCTCATTTATATTTGAAAGGCCACTTTAAAGAGAGAAAGCTCTTCCATCCACAGGTTCACTCCCTAATGGCTATAATGGCCAGAATTTGGCCATTCCAAAGCCAGGAGCCAGGAGCTTCTTCCAGGTCTCCTATGTGAGTGGTAGAAGCCTAAGGCCTTGGGCCATCCTCCTCTGCTTTCCCAGGCCATAAACAGGGAGCTAGATCAGAAGTGGAGCAGCCAGGGCTCGAACCAGTGGCCATTTGTGATGCAAGTACCACAGGTGGAGGCAAAACCTACTATACCACAGCTCCAGCCCAGAAATATTGATTTTTAAAGTAGCCTTGATTTTTAACCTGTAGTCCCTGAGTGGTGAGCAAACAGCCCTGCACTCTGCATTTGTCTCTTGGAATCCAACCAGTGTGCCAGGAACTCACTATCACAAGTCAAAGAAATGATTATAGTTGCACTTTTTTTTTAATTGCCCAAATTCTTTTTAACTTTAAAGCATTGGCTTAGGTTTGGGTGATTTTGGTTTATATAAAACAATTTAAAGGGTGATGGTATATGTCTTTTTCTTTTTTTTTTCCAATTTATTACGTTGCATTATGTGATATAGCTTTTTAGGTACTGGAATTCCCCCCCTTCCCCCCAGTCCTCCCCCCATGGTGGATTCCTCCACCTTGTTGCGTGTCTACAGTTCAAGTTCAGTTGAGATTCCTCCCCTGTGAGCCTGTACCTAGCGTAGAGTCCAGCATCTCATCATCCGGATAAGTTCAACAGCTTCTTGGGGAGACCCTCTCCCTTGCGCATGGCATCCGCCGTGTGCGATCCAGGCGTGGAGCTTAGCTAGGGGCCCTGGGATCCCTCGGCGACATGGCGGCCACTGAGGGGCCATCTCCCTGTATATGTCTTTTTCTAAATATCACTTGGTGGCGGCCAACCTGGTGGAGCAGTGGGTTGCGCTGCCACCTGCATTGCTGGCATCCCATCTCTGAGCTCTGATTCCATTTCCAGCTGTTCTACTTCCAATGCAGCTCCCTGCTGATATGCTAGGGAAAGCAATGGAAGATGGGGAAATGAAGCAGAGGATGAAAGATCTCTTTGTCTCTCCTGCTTTCTTTGTCATTCTTTCGAATAAATACTAAATACATTTTAAACTTTAAAAACTTTTTTTTCATTTAAAGTAGTAATTTTTAAGAATTGCTTTGTGAGTGAACCAGTTTCTTGTTCTTGATCGTTTGAAGTTCGGAGGATAGCTGTGCAGAAGCCCCTTGGAATGTGGAATTGTATGTGTTTACATTTTTAAGGAAGTGCTTATTTTTGTTTGAAAGACAGTATCACAAGCAGAAAGCTCTTCCATCTGCTGCTTCTCTCCCCAGACGCCTGCAGCAACCAAGTGCGGGCCCAGCCAGGGAGATGCCAAAGGCTAGGAATTGCATCCAGGTCTCCCACATGGGTGGGCAGGTCATCACCTCTTGCCTTCCAGGCACACTAACTGGGAGCTGGATTGCAAGTGGCATAGCTGGGACTCGAACTGGTCTCCAGTATGGGATGCACCTTACCCCACTATGCCACAGCATTGACCCGCACATGTGTGCTCCCTGTCTAGTGTTCTAAATAACATGCATTGCTAACCTTTTTTTTCTCAAGATTGTGTTCAATGCTGTGTGTCGGGGTTGCTGTTCCCTGAGATTTGTGTACTGGTGTTTAAGACTTTGTGTTGGAGCGAAGTCAGCTTGTCCTCATGCTGTTGGTGGGGCCCCGGAAGCAGCCAGGGTTTCTCTTGGATCCCTGAGGTCTGTTTTTCTTCCCCCTTTGTCCGAGTCACCATCTTCATGCCCAGCAGAGGGCAGACACCTGTTTGGATGGTGAGGTTTCGGCCACCTTGTGTAGCTAACTGGTAGCTTATCACTAAATTATGGTGACTTCTGAAAGCTCTGTTAATGGGGTGTGGCTGTCACTTTATGGCTTTGTGTCTGCACGAGTTTCGATGTTGTAAATTGTTCTTGCCTTCCTTTATGTCTATTTTCTGATTACAACTGAGGGTTTTTTAATTAAACAAAAATGAATGGACATGCACTTAATTTATTTTTAAATTTAGAAAAAGGTGAAGCAAAGCATCATAGCACATAATATAAAACTGTGAGGGGAAAGCCACATGAATTCCAAGTGACACAAGAAACACTCACGCCCAAAAGAAGGAGTAGAGCACCGAGCCAAGAGGGATGTGTCTGACAACAAATCTGGGGCCATCTGACACGTGATATAAAAAGAAAGACACACAACTGTGGGGGCTGACATGGTGGCATATCAGGCTAATCCTCCATTTGCAGCTCTGGCATCCCATATGGGATGCGTCACTTATTTTTGTTAATACTTGTTTTTATTGTGAAAGTAGATATACAGATAGAAGGAGAAAGATCATCTATCCATTTGTTCAACGCTCCCCCCAACCCCAGTGACTGCAATGAACGGTTGGAGCTGAGCCAATCTGAAGCCAGGATCTTCTTCCAGGTCTCCCATGTGGGTGCAGGGTCCCAAAGCTTTGGGCTGTCCTGGACTGCTTTCCCAGGCCACAATCAGGGAGCTGGATGGGAAGTGGAGCAACTGGGACACAAACCATCACCCATATGGGATCCCGGCAGTATTTAGCCACTAGGCTATCATGGTGGGCCTAGGCATACTATTCTGTAACCTGCTTGTAAGCCTAGTAAACTATGAAATGTTTTCATTTTCATTATATTCATTATATTACAGTTTCATTATATCACTTTTAAAGAGTTTCTGTACTCTCATCTCCTTGGATGAACAACAGAGAGAGATGAAACAGACACAGATGCTCCATCCACTAGCTCACTACCAGATGCCCACAGCAGCTAGGCCTGGGCCAGACCAAAGCCAGGAGCCCAGAAGCCATCCACATCTACCGCACATGTCGAAGGGGTTCAGACACTTCAGCCATCATCTGCTGCCTCACAGAACGCATCAGCAGGAAGCTCGCTGAGAAGTGGAGGCACCAGCACCCAAGCCAGCACTTTGATTTGAGATAGGGTCTTCCTAACACTGGCTTAACTCTCTGCTCCACAATGCATGCCACATAATGTGATTTTGGGTAGTTCTATGCTGTATTGGTATAATGGGCTTAGCTATTGCCTTGATACGGTCTTTTCAGTTTTATTTTAATAGTCCCATACTTAAGTCGTTTTTTCTGCCTTGTGACTATTGTCATCTTGTGATTACAGAGCTCACATCAGTTTTTTACCTTACTTGCTTTTGTCACAGACATTTTTATGCATCCTTCTTTCATATTCACCATGTTGTTTTATAGGTCATTCTCTGCCTTCAGATGTTCTGCATCTCTTATTGGGGATCCCTAAGCCCCAGTGAGGGGTCAGAGCCGGCCTTTCCCATTTACCATTCTCTTCCAGAAAAACCAGAACATTCCACTTACAGACCATTCTGAGCTGTCTCCCTACCCCAACCCACTGTCTAACAGCAGGTGTCTCAATAATCAGTTGTTATGTTCACTCAATGGTTGTTGCATCAAGCTGTGAAAAGATTCAGATCAGAGGAAACACTGTGTTGGCAGGAGTCACTACAAACAAGCACCAGTTTAGGAGGAAGGAGAGATGATTAATTATCTGGAAGCCAGTAGGAGTCTTAGAGTGGTCATTCCACTCCATCTTGACTGGCTTCCTCACCAACAGAAAGGAGGAGTTGGAGAGAGGGGAGTGCTGGTCTCTAATCTTTGTACCCAGAGGGACTGTGATGAGACGGAAGGGACAGATCCCTCAGGAGAAAGTGACAGAATCATGTGGGAAGTTGTGAGGGTGGGAGGCCATGGGTACAGAGTGTGTCCACGCACAGCCTGCAGACATGAAAAAGGCAAAACTCAGGGAGTGCCAAGAAAAACATAATACCGTGATCAGAGATGCAAATGGGCTGAATCACAGTAAGCTCAGTGAGAGGAGCGGGGAGGATGGAGAGAATTGGGTGAATTTTAAAATAAAATGAATGTGGCTATCTAGAAAATTCTGTAATGCATTCAAGTGTTTGAAAAGAAGACATGGTGGTTGGTTTAAATTCTCTTGGATTAAATACACTTAGCTGGTTGAAGCAGCAGGGGTTCGTTGTAAGGGTTGGCAGGAGCAGGCCCGTGTGGGGAACCTCACAGTGAGCCGCTGGAGGCAGAGCCTTCTTGTCAGGGCAAGTTAGCATCACTCAGTCTGCTTGTCTCCCCTTGCTAGTCCACCGGCGGCTTCTTCCCAGACCACATGATGAACAACAGTCTCCAGACGTGCGTGTGTGTGTGTGTGTGTGTGTGTGTGTGTGTGTGTGTGTGTGTGTGTGTGTGTGACTGAGTCAGCCATCTCGAAAGAACAGGCTCTGTCTTTCCCACTTTGAGATCCCTGGAAAGGAAGTCATTGGTTCCGTATGTACCACGTGCTTATTCCCATGCAGTTGGCCATGTTCAGGTGTCATGTTACAGTTACCGACCCCATCACAGATGGAAGGAAGGGAACCGCTTCATTGAAAAGGTAGACTAAGCTGTGAACAAAAACAAATAGTTTACAGGAAAGGCTACAGCCCAATCTTAACGTTGGTTTGATGCAAAAGACACCAGCAATGCCGACAGTAATGTCAGGCTGCGAAGATGAAGGGAAGGAGCCGTTGCTTGAGAAACACTTAGCAACAGGTGTCAGAGGGCGAGTAGCACTGCTAACTGCCCTTTTGTCCTGCGACTGGCATCCTGAGAACACAATTTTCATTCTACTTCCACAGCAACAAAACAATGAATTGTAACTTTTTAAAAAGATTTATTTATTTTTATTGCAAAGTCAAATATACAGTGAGACAGAGAGGAAGATCTTCCATCTAATGTGACCCCAAGTGACCGCAACGGCCTGAGCTGAGCCAATCCGAAGCCAGGAACTCTTCCAGGTTGCCCGCATGGGTACAGGGTCCCTGGGCTTTGGGCCGTCCTCCATTGCTTTCCCAGGCCACAGCAGGGAGCTGGATGGAAAGTGGGGGCTACTGGGACACGATACCAGCACCCATGTGGGATCCTGGCGTGTGCAAGGTGAAGACATTAGCCACTAGACTATCATGCCAGGCCCCTTTTAGTATTACTTATAACATGTGCTTGCTTATCTCATTGCTACTAACTCAATTCAGAGTGAATTCACTGAGGGGCCTTCTCAGTCTCAGGCATGGTTGATGAAGTGATTCTTGGACTGTGGACTGAACTGACCAGTCATGTTTTTATAAATCTGGGAAGTCAGGATGGGTGTTGTATTACATCAGGTTAAGTCACTGCCTGGAATGGCTGCATCCGTGTCAGAGTGGTGGTTCAAATCCTGGCCTCGTCACATCCTGGTCCAGCTCCCTGCTAATTCACCTGGGAGGTGGTGGGTGGTGGCCCGGCTACCTGCCGCCCACATGGGATAGAATTCCTGGTTCCTGGCTTCATCCCAACCCCAGGGTTATCAAGTGTGAACCTAAACTGAGTTAAGCATTTTTATATCTGTTCTCACCATCAAATAAAAGAAGTTTAACAATTAACACTAAAGGGCAGGAAGTGACCAAGAAAAGATTCTGTGTTCTTTTTATTATTAATAACTTATTTTTATCGGAAAGGAAGATTTTTAGAAAAAATAGAGAAAGAAAGAATGATCTTCCATCCTCTGGTTCACTCCCTAAATGGCCTCAATGGCTGGAGTTGAGCCAATCCGAAGCCAGGAGCCAGGAGCTTCTTCCAGGACCTCTTCCAGGTCTCCCACGCAGGTGCAGGATTCCAAGGCTTTGGGCCGTCCTTGACTGCTCTCCCAGGCCTCAGCAGGGAGCTGGATGGAAGGTGGGACAGCCAGGACATGCACCAGTGCTCATATGGGATCCCAGTACTTACAAGGCGAGGATTTAGACACTGAACCATTGCCCAATATTGTGCTTTTATCAATGCTTTTTTAATGTCAACTTTCCTGAGGCATGATTTACACATGGGCACCCATCCTAAGTGTGGGGGGGGTTGGAAAGAACCTAAATCTTAGATCATAGAGTAGCCTTTAAATTGGAACAAATAAAGCTTCCTAAAAACTCATTATTCACCTTTCTTTTTTTTTGCCATGAATTGGTGAAAGTGTCATTGGGGGCTGATGACACTCCTAGTTGTGGCTGAAACCTTCTAAACCCTTCTCATGCAGAGAACATGTAGCGCTGGCTGTCAGGGGGCCCTTGGCAGAGCCCAGGAAGTGGAAAGCAAGGTTGCAGGGCAGCCGGGCTGGCGGGGAGAGCATTCTTTGCCATTCGTCCGTATTTTCCTTATTTTGTTTGTTTACCGTGTTCAGCCTATCAGCTCATCACCGTGGTCATCGCAGCAGCAGGAGGAGGGTTGCTGCTTATTCTGGGCATTGCACTGATCGTTACCTGTTGCAGGTGAGTGGTGAGAGTTCAAAATCCTCCTTCTGATTCTTTGTGCCTTGCAAGTATTTGTTTTTACTTTTCTCAAGAATATTGGAGATGGGTTATAGTGTGAAACTAGGATGTGTAACTAAACTGTTTTTTAAGAAAGGAAAAAAAGAAAGGGAAAGTTTTTGATAGTTGACCCCTAAGAGGGAGCAGATGGAACTTTTTTTTTAAGAGAAAAATCCAAAAAGCACAGCCACAAAAGGAAAAAAAAAGAAAGATTTAACTCCACCAATATAATATAACAAGCATTTGTGCTCCAAAGGTGAAAAAACAATCCCAGCATGGGTTAACACAAGTGCATGTCATCTTCAGGGCCTTCAGAAACTTCCTGGCCATTAAAACTGTATTTGTTTTAGAGAGTACTCTGTTGGCTCATTGCTCAAATAGCCAGGCCACAGCCAGGGGTTGGGAACTCAACCCGGTCTCCTGCGTGGATGATGGGGACATGGCTAGTTGAGCCTTGCCAGCTGCCTTCAGGAGTGCACCATAGCAGGCAGTGGGATGGGAAGTGGAGCCAGGACTCAGAGCCAGGCACGCTCACAGGGGATGTGGACTTCCCAGGCAGCATCGTAACCACAGCCGCAAACACCTGTCTATTTTCTTTTGAATCTCTTTTTTTCATGAACTTCTAAAGATACTTTCAGGGATATGTATTTAGAGTATAAAAAAGAACACTTTCCACTCAGTAATAAAAATACAGCACAGTTTAAAAATAAGGATTTGAATAGCCATTCCTCCAGAGAAGATAGGCACATGACCAGTAAGCACACACAAGGCTACTCAACATCATTAGTCTTGAGCAGATAACAAATGAAATCTGCCAGGAGACACCACTGTGTAGCCACTAGAATAGCCATCTAAAGAACAAAGCAAACCAACAAAAACAGTGAGGATGTAGAGAAAGCACCCATATCCACTGCTGAAAGAAACATTAAGTGGTCCCATAAAATGGTACATTCGCGTTGAAAAAATTAAATATAGCACTTTCACTCTTAGCTGTAAGCCCAAGAGAAATAAAAACACTCACATGAATGTTCATAGCAGCATTCATAATAGCTAGAAGGTCAACAACAGCTGCCATGTCCACCAATTGACAAGTGACTAAACAAGACAGGATGTATTCATATAAAGGAGTATTTTACAGGAGGGAATGAAGCACTGATAGGATAAATGGAGTGAGCTAGTCACAAAGGGCCACCTGTCATGTGACCACATGATGCGAATTTTCTAAATCAGGCAAATCTAAATAGAGGTAACTACTAAGTGCCTTAGTACTTGGCCCAGGGCTGTGATGGTAGGGTGAGTGGACAGGAGAGACCTAAGGAGTGATGGCTAAGCCATCTGAGGATTCTTTTGAGCTATTTTTTTTGAAGATTTATGTATTTTATTGGAAAATCAGATATACAGTGAGGAGGAGAGACAGAGAAGAAGATCTTCCATCCAATGATTCACTCCCCAAGTGACTGCAATGGCCAGAGCTGAGCTGATCCAAAGCCAGGAGCCAGGAACTTCTTCTGGGTCTCCCATGCAGATGCAGCGTCCCAAGGCTTTGGGCCATCCTTGACTGCTTTCCCAGGCCACAAGCTGGGAGCTAGATGGGAAATAGGGCTGCTGGGATTAGAGCCAGCACCCATTTTGAATCCCTGCGCATGCAAGGTGAGTATTTTAGCCACTAGGGTACTGCACCAGGCCCTTTTGAGCTATTCTAAAATGGGTTGTGATAATGGTCGTAAAATTTTAAACTGCTAAGAACCAATAAATGGGTGAATTGTATCTCACTAAAACTACACACCTATAAAGATATAGTCTAGAGTGAAGCAAGAGAAGGAAGGAATTGACCTCCTTCTTGGTGATTAACTCTTCAAATAAGGAAAGTTATGACCTTTGATTTAGGAGAATAATAAATGGTTGGAATAATTTAGATATAACAGGTAGAGGAAGTCTAGCATGTTACCACTTCTACCATAGACATGAGCCTATTTCAAGTTATTCTCTGTCTCCAGTAAGGCCCGGCTGCCCGTTTGGGAATGCCAACCTTTGTTAGCATTCCATCAGATCATCAGAAACAAACAATGCAAGTAGAAATTGTGTGAGACTAGGTAGAGTTATCCAGAGGGGACAAAATGTGAGTGTCCGGGCAGCTACAAGCCTCAGATTAGCTATGCACTCATGTGGTACAGCCACTCCAGCAAGGAGCCTGGGGTGATTGGTTCCTGAGACGGGAAGGTAGTCATGAGCCAGTAAGTCTTGGTTGAGGACTGGGAGTCACACAGTAACAGGTCTGATTAGAGTTTGTACCAAGGGCCAACATCTCTACCACGTGCAGGACAGTTCATTTCATGACCCTTGAGTCACTTGGTGCCTTCCTCAGGTGAGTGACATAGAAGGAAACATCTTCAGATTGTCTTACTCGGGGTAAATCTAATTTAAAATGCATGATCATAGACTCACTTTCCAACCATTGCTAGGAGTGAACTGTCTGACCCACTATGTGAGAATGTGTGTCGATCTGTAAGTAGGTGGTTTGATTTGGGAGGGGGATTGGCAAGCAAACCACCCCTCATTATGATTTGTAAAGTAGCTTCATGTAACAAAAAGAGCACCGTCTGGGAAGGTAGGAGGCCTGAATTCTAGTCCCAGCTTTACCAATAACAAAGGGCAACCAGAGGACAAGTCGGATCTCTCTACTGAGCCCTAGGACCCTAGAACTCCCGAGTCAGTCGGGGGAGCCCCATGAGCCTTCTGTGTCCTGGTGCTTGGGAAGTCGAGAGGTGGAAGGAGGGCAGTCGGGAGCTGTCGGACTGCCATTCTGGCTCCAGTGCTCTTTGAACTTGTCACCACCCCAAGACACTGTGAACTCTGTCCTCCAAGCGCTTACGTCGCTCCCTTGCAGCTGTCTCTGTCCTGCTCCTGATAATCTGGTCCTGTGACTTTTTTTTTTTTTTGGCATCTTTTAAAAAATCGTTGCGTGCAAATAATAAAAATCATGGCAATAATTGCACAACTGCAAAGAAATATAGTGATAGCTTTCAGTCTAATTTAATGGTATAGTAATACTAGATGCTTTCACGGATACCATTTATGTACAGAGCTTATTCACAGTACTTTCTGAATGTTTTTTTCATCCCACAGAAAGAACAAAAATGACATCAGCAAGCTCATCTTCAAGAGCGGGGATTTCCAAATGTCCCCGTATGCCGAGTACCCCAAGAACCCTCGCTCACAAGAGTGGGGTCGAGAAGCTATTGAAATGCATGAAAACGGAAGTACCAAAAACCTCCTGCAGATGACGGATGTATACTACTCGGTATGTATTCCCAGGCCCACGGCCACCCTGGGCTTGGGTTCTCGGGAAAAGTAGTTCCATTGTGCCGAGGCAGAGAGCACTGCAGGTGGCTGGGAGTGAGAGAGGATGGTGACAGATGCCTCTTATTTCTATCATTCATATTATTTACTTACCTTCTGTTTGTAAGGTATTTATTGATCTTGGTACTGAATTAGGAGGTTATATTTCCATATACTGCTTCAGTGGGATTTAGTACTTTCTTATTACCCAACTTGTTTCTAAGGTATAACAAAGGAAACGAATAGAGGGAGAAAAGATTCCTGACCATTTAGCCCCTTATCCTTGACCTGGTATGGTGAAGTAGTTAAAACTAGAAAAAGGTACAGAGTTCGGCATCATCTTTGACAGGTACATCTCAGAGGCCCAGAGGGCAATGCCCTTGGTGAGCGTGTAATCGTTTGCCCTGTATTGCCCTGGTCTGCAGCACGTGGAAAACAGAAGGCCTTGAAGCCTTGCTGCTTCTGTTGCACATTGAATATGACTCATATCCTGCTCCTGTGCACTGCCGATTCAGTTCACATTCCATCGGGTCTACCTTAAAACAGACACACATGGGGATATCTAAGCTGATAAATAAATAGGGATCAGGTGACTTCTTATGCTCTGGGGAGCTGATTGAGATTCAGCAATAAGTATAAACCTTGCCCCGTGGAGCCTTAATGATCCTAGACAATCTTGTTACGGGAACTACAGTCCCCCTGGTTGCTATGGGAATCAGCCAGGAGGATTTAGACTTTGGATGGGAGGGGTGGTTTGGGACATGCTAAGGAAGCTGCTTGCTTCAATAGACCTTTAAAAAAAAAACTGAACCTGGAGAGCAAGAAGAAATAAGGAGGAAGGTAAACAGACGCAAGTACAAGCTTAGCTTTAGGATTTGTGCAATAATATTTCTACACAGGACCTTGCATTTTTATTTCCCTCAGTTGGTTGGAAGTCTTCTCTGTTTACCCAGCTGAAGACACGTCTGTCAGGGTCTACCCACACACTCAGATCCTTTTCTTGGTATTCCTCAGCCACAGTGGGACAAAATAACCAGCAACAAGCAGGCCGAGACATTGTAGGACCGAGTTTTATTGTGTCTTTCCATGGCATGGGCTTCCCTCATGTCAGAAGGCTGGAAGTGCAGCATCCACTATAGTTCCCACCAGAAAGCATTTGTCCCAGTATTCCTGTGAGCACCTCGCTATCGCTTGTTATTTATTCCAGGAAAGACTGGGGACTTACTTGTTTTTGCTGTTTGTTGCAGACCACATAGCTGATTCATGACCCATTAAGCTGTTATTTGATCAGATACCTGAGAATCCCCAGGGCCCCCCCAAGCTTTGTGCCCATAACTGCACCTCAAGCTGGGGATCTTTGGAATCCTGTATGGCGTGTGTCCCTTCTCTTCTGCTAAGGGTCAAAGAGAATTTAAAACCAGTAGTGTGCCACAGAGAAAGATAACTTAAACAGCGGTGAGGTAAATATTAGTAGAAAGAACTGGAAACATGCCCGAGTAGAGTTGTTCAGCCCTAGCCTACCATTCCACAAATGAGAACCAGAAAACCAAATAAGAAGAGCTGCATGTTGAAGTGAGCAGTACTAGAACTCGGAACCAGAGAGACAGGAAAGCTGGAACACACAGGGACCTGAGAGGGTAGCGCAGAGTGGAGGAAAGGGCACCAGAGACCCCCACAGACTCATCGCCATGGCAACCCTAGTGACAGCAGAATTCCACAGACCCCACAGGCTTGGAGCCCACTCATGGGAGTTACCTGGAGTCTGCATCATAGCTTTGCTTCAGAGAAGTTTGTGGCATTGTCTGCCTCGAGTTTCCAGAGCCATGCTCCCAGCCCAACATCAACTGAGGGCACGCCCTGCAGGCTGAACACCCCCTGGAGCCACAGCCAGCGCACAGGTGGCTCTGAGCGTTTTGGAAGCTGACAGTGTGCATGCCACGGTTAATGCTCCTAGAAGCCGTCAGCTGCTACCAGCGCTGAGGACAGGCACTGTAAGCCACATACTGCCTGTAACTCTTACATTGTTTTTATGTCCGCTCCGCAACCACCATGGTCACCCCGGGGCTTATACTTCAGCTGCGTTCAACACACAGATGCTGCACACCCCACCATCCCTGCCGAGGAAGGATCCACCACTTGTTGCTGGGGCCATCACTCCTGTTGCTAGAACAGCCACTCAGGGGGCACCCCACAGGCACTGTTGTCAGTTCTCCATCTGCCTGGGCCACTGAAGTCCCACTTCTTCCACGTGGCTCCCAGAGTCAGAAGAGCAATTAGGATTCCACCTCCACATGTACTAGTAGTACCTAAAGCCACTGTAGCCCACCAAGCCAACCTCTGCAAACAAATATTCAAAAGAAAACCGTTACTACAAAAGCTATCTATGAAAGTGTGGGAGAGAGATCTAACCCACATGATGCGCAAATCTCAACGTACAACCACAGGAAATATAGAAAATAAGATAATGTGATGTCTCCAGAGGAATTGAGTGATTCCAGCATTAAACCTCAAAGAGAAGGAAATTGGCAGCATGCTTCCTAAAGAACTCATAAAGAGTGATTACAGTTTTAACAAAATGAGGAAGATAGCACAGGGTGTGAGTGAGGATTTCAACAGAGATGGAGATCTTGTAAAGGAAACAAGTCTCAGACACGGGAAAACTCAGGAAGTCTAATTGGAAACACACCTGAAGGCCTCAAAGACAAGACTAGGTGAAGCAGAGGAAAGAACATCTGGACTTGGAGACAAGTTCTAAGAAATATCTAGTTAGACACAACACACACTTAAAAAATATTTAAAAAGAAGACAACTTCTAGAATCTTTGGGGCACCATTAGGCAAATATTCAAACATTGTGTTGGTTCCTGAAGGCAAAGTAAAAGAAGAAAGGCATAGAAAACCTAGACAAAGAAGTGTTAGCCAAAGGGCCTGGCACAATAGTCTAGTGGCTAAATTCTCATCTTGTATGTGCCGGAATTCCATGTAGGCACTGGTTCATGTCTTACTGGCTCCAGTTTCCATCCAGCTCTCTGCTTGTGGCCTGGGAAAGCAGTCAAGGATGGCCCAAAGCCTTGGGACCCTGCACCCATGTGGGAGACCCGGAAGAGCTCCTGGCTCCTAGCCTCAGATCAGCACAGCACAGCACCAGCTGTTGCGGTCACTTTGGGAGTGAACCAGCAGATGGAAGATCTTCCTCTCTGTCTCTCCTCCTCACTACATATCTTACTTTGCAATAAAAATAAATAAATCTTAAAAAGAAAAAAAGTTAACAAAAACATCAGAGTTAAACATGCTGTAGGCCAAATGGCCCCACAAGGCACTCATAGGCCAGGTCATCCAGAAGCTGCAGGATACACAACCTTTTCATCAGTACATGAGCATTGTCCAGGTTAGGCCACAGAACAAATCTCAGCTAAACCAGGAAGTAAATCAAAATTGGGTCACGTATCTGTTCTGACTGCAGTGGAATAAAACTGGAAATAACAGGAGAAGAAACCATGCATTGTATGAATATGTGATGCCATAGTTTAAGCTATGGCTTGTGTAGACATTTAAATTGCAAAATCATGAGTTAATGTTACCGGGAGAAAGGAAGCCAGTCCACTCACAGTGTCTAGGCGGGCCTGTGATCTCAGAAGATGGGGCGCCACCGAGAACAAAGAATAGGACCCAAGTCAGACCCACCCTCCCCTAGCTTCCTGTGACTCCTGGGGATCCTCCTCCAGTCCTCCATCGCCACCATCCACCCTCATCAGACGGCCAGCCAGTGGGACTGTAACTCTCCAGGTCATGGGCCAAAGTAAACTTTTCTCCTTTCTAAGCAGTTCCAGGATGGTAACGACAAGGTGAATGGTATACACGAAGAAATGGAACATGCTGTCAAATTGTGGGTCATAGAAAAAAACCAAAGGGTAAATTTTAACATTTGTGAAACAAAAGTGGAAACAGTGTACACAAATTAATGAGATAGAGCAAAAGTAGTACCAACCATTACATTTATAGCAATAAGCATCTAGTTTGAAGAAAATTGAAAGATCTCAGATAAACAATCTAACAATGTAGCTCAAGGATCTAGAAAACCAAGGATGAACAAAACACAACATTAGCAGAAAGGAGGAAAGAGAAGGAGAAAGAAGGGAAAAAAGAAATGAAATATTTTTAATACAACAGATTATTACAATGAAGAATTCATTTTTTGAAATGCTAAACAAAATCCCTTAAAACTTGGACTACACTATTTAAGAAAAAATTGAGAAAACTCAAATCAATAAAATCTGTAATGACAAAGGAAATATTATAGCTGATACCATGGAACTATAATAGTAAGAACAACTTACACCTACAAGTGTAAAACCTTGAAGAATAAGTTTCTGAATATGTATAAGCTGCCAGTATTGAACCATGAAGATATGGGGAATCCAAGCAGATCAATAATCAATTATGCAATCAAATCAATAATGAAAAAAATCTAACAAAGAAACGCCCAGGTGTCCTGAATTCTGCCAGACTTTTCAGGAAGAGCTAACATCAGTTCCTCTCAGACTCGTGCAGAGCACTGAGTGGGGGACCTCTCCTGAACTCCTGCAAGGCCAGCATGACCCCATGCCAGAGCCAGCCAAGGACGCCACAAAAAAATAAAAATAAATAAAACTATAGAGCAACCTCCCAGAGAAATTCCCAGATATTCCGCTGAAATTCGCAGAGATGCTAGATTTTGAACCTAGCTACACATTAGTCAGTCATCATAGTCATGTGAATTTTAAAAGTGTTCAGCACTTATAGATCAATAGTCACATCACAAATTGGAGATTAAAAAAACATGATCATCTCAGTAGATGCAGGGAAAATAATTTAATAAAATCCCCAAAATGATTAAGTATATGTGATAAACTCACAGCCAGTATTATACTGAATCGGGAAAAGTTAAATTTCCTCCAAGATCTGAAACAAGACAAAGATATCTCTTCTCACTGCTCTTACTCGATCTGGTATTGTAAGTTTTAGTTAGAAGAATTAGGTGAAAGAGAGAAATAAAAGGTATACAAATAGGAAGGGAGGGGAAGGAAGTCAAATTGTTGCTCTTTGCAAATGATGTGCTTTTATATAGAGAGGATCTCGAAAGCCTCCCCCAAGAGACCATTAGAACTGGTCAGGATTCAAACTCAACACACAGAAATCAGCATTTTTACATGGCAGTAATGAGCTTGTTGATAAAGAACTCGCAAGACCATTCCCATTCATAATAATCACAAAAATTAAAATACCTTCAAATAAACTTAAGAATGTGAGAGATCTCTACAGTGAAAGTTATGAACCAGCAGGGAAAGCAATTGAAGAAGACAAAAAATGGAAAGAGACATACCTGCTCTCCTTTTCATAATAGCTTCCATCTTAAGTTTATTCAAACATAGCATTCTCTTACAAAAAAGAAAATGAATGATTTTAAACCCAAGACTAATCGGTGGTCTTTTCCTTTTCTCTTTGGCAACCAGCCCACAAGTGTAAGGAATCCTGAACTTGAACGAAATGGACTCTACCCTGCCTACACTGGATTGCCCGGATCACGGCATTCGTGCATATTCCCTGGACAGTACAACCCATCTTTCATCAGCGATGAGAGCAGAAGAAGAGACTACTTTTAAATCCAAGAGAGAGGGGGGGACTCACTGCTCTGAGCCACCTGCCTGGGACCTCAAGGGGCTCAGGAGCAAGCGTCCCATGTTGGCTGCTCCCAGGACTTACTGGGACCACCCAGGAGGGGCAAGCAGAGTGACAAGTGTGAGGGATGTGAGCGCAGTAGGAGAAACTGCAGGCTGCTCATCCGGCACCTGTGCTGTTACTGTGAACATGGACGTGGGCCGGTGCCAGGAGAGTCTGAGGGACTGCGGCGGGGCACTGGTGCCAGAGGTGACCGTCGGCCAAGGCAGCCCAGTAGGTTTCATTGTCAGGACCCAGGTTTTCGTTTAGTGTGCACTTTAGTAAACTGGGCAGGGAGGTTTCCTTTCCGTCAAGACTGTTTCGGAAAGAAGAACTTTGGCTTCCTTTCCTGAGGCTCCATAGGTTGTGATTTGGTGGTGATTTGCAGCCGGACGCTGAGCTCTTGGTTGTTCCCTAGCCTGGTGCCCGTGTGCAGAACAACAGGTGCAGATGGACACGCCACTGAGGGCTGACGTCACCGCGCTGGGCCAGAGTACTTCGGTGTCTCGCCACCATCTTGAGCTGCAGCATCTAAGCCAGCCCCCAGATAAGGAATTGAAATCTGTGAGGCACAGCCCACAACTCCCACTTGGTTTTTCAGTTAAGGTGACACATTTATCTTGGATGTGCGTTTTCTCCAACAGCCTTTACAGTTCCATCTCGACCGTTTTCAAATACGTGGAGCTCATGGCAAAGCAGCATTTGGTTTTAAGTTTGAGGCATCTAGCTGTCCCATGATGAGCGTCAGCAGGCAGGGCAGGGGCTAGGGACTGGTCCTGCAGGCATGGGGAGGAACCTTTTTGTTCCTGAGAGCGTGACCTGGGGGCCTAGGGCTCTGCCCACGCTGAAGCCAATGGTTCTATGAATGTAAGAGAAATGGGAAGGTGGATGCAGGTGGTGTCCTCGCTGGTATTTACCACTGGAGGGAAAGTAGCTGAATGTGATAGTCTTTGCAGCTGAGTGTGGTTAAAAGGGATGGGCCGAGTTCAGTTTCCGGCGACTTTGGCTTCTACTTTGGGAAGTTGTGGATTGCTGAGGCAGAATAAGGAGCCAGAGTAGAGCCACAGGTAAGTGTGCAGACCTGTTAGTGTGATGTCTTTGTGTTTTTAACCTCGTCCACAAACTCTGTGTGAGCTTTCAACCACTCGAGGCTATTTATTCATTGAAATAACTTACTTTCTCTCACCCAGCCATTTTCTCACTATATGCCACTGTGTAGTACTGAGCATTGGAGACCTAGAGACTTCTGGCCAGTGAGGGACATGGGAGCTCGCCTTTGGCAAGGAAAGCCCACACATCTCACTTAATGCTTGTGTGGTGGGTCCTGCAAGGGAGGCCCGTCCTGTGGAGGTATGTCCCTGTGCTTGCTGTTGTAACATTGTGGTTGTGGATAAAGTGACCTGAACACACAGGCCAAAGAGGCCCATTTCTGAAAATGGTGTAGCCACTGAAACAGTGCCTGGGTTGGGGAACCGGAGAATGTTGGGGGGACTTCTTCACAACCTCCACAATCCCCGTCCCAGTGGTTTTCAGCATGAACTACTGTGTTCCCTGGCCTCCCAGAGCACCTTCACCTGCTAGAGCAGCAATGCCGAGCAGGTGCAGTGCATCTTAGTAATTACCTTGTACTTGGGAGCTAAATGCAACATGAGTTTTATTTTTGTCAGGAGGTGCTACCTTGAAATTTCAAAGCATCGCCTTTTTGGCATCTTGGGTCTTCCGCCTCTGTGCCTCGTGGGCGCACACCTAACTGGAGTGCCCCCAGCCCCTGACCTCCACTCACCTGAGCCAACACACTCGGCAGCCTTACTTCCTAACCCTTTACACCGCAGCATCCCCGCTGGTGCCCAGGACCCACAGCGACATGAAGCGGCCGAAGGAGCTGTTGGTAGGCACACACTTCTGCCTCATGCTACCAGCACGGCTGGCACATCATCTCCTATTTCCACTCAGAAGTGTGAAGTTTCAAAGTGTTGTGTCCCAAAAGCATTCTTAGGAAGAATCTCAAGGTCCAGAAAAGTGAGTTCAAGAATGTCGCCTATCCCCCCACACACGTGTTTGCGAGTCATGTTGCTGTGGAGAGGGTTAAAAGTCTTTGGTTTTGTGCCCATTTTACTGTTGGGGGGAGCACCCTGCCAGGCGGCGTTCCCACAGCATATGGCTCCTGGGAGGCGTGTTGGGAAGAGTGGGAAGGCATGAAAAGAGCATAGCTGGTCTCAAGTGCTTGCTGGCAGGTGGCGGAGGAGGCCTGACACTGTCATGATTCTGCTGAGGCCAAGGAGAAACAGCAAGACGGTGAGGGCCCGGAGGTGGGAGAGAGGGCAGAAGCATGTGCCCATGGACTCAGCTCGCAGGTGTGTGCCATTAGGAATGCTTGGTTCATGTGAACAAAAAACGTCGCAACTGTGGGGGAAAGGTGGGAGGAAGTGGGACGCAGCACTGCCTGTGGGATGCTTCGGTTGCTGTGGGGAAGAGCTGGGTCACGTGGAACCTGTACACCCCCAGGACATAGTAGAGCTCATCTGTTGGGACAGAGAGCCAACCCCAGCCTGTGGCTTTGTGTGAGCAACAGGGTCTTCCAGCATCGCTCCCTCCAGCTCCAGGCACTGGGGTCTGTTTCTTTAGGGAGATAGGTTAACATCTTGCTCCTGTTGCTGAGGAATTCACTGTCACAGCGCCCTCATGAGGTCAGCACAAGCATGTCCATTCTGCAGACATTGAAAGCTTCAGAGAATACACAGCTTGCCCTTTGCAGGCAGGCCTTGGACCCCTGTCTGCCTGCCTCACTCTCCCACTGCACGATCTAATGGCCTAGTTTACATGTCAAAGAAGGCAAGAGAGAATGTGCTTAAATAATAAGCTATTTGGTTTTAGTTTTAAATGAACCTTAATATGATTAAGCAGTAGCCAACCTAATAGCAGAAAGCATGAAAAAATGTTGAATACGTTTGGAAAATATCCCTCTGGGGTGGCTTTTACATCTGTTTCTTGGATACCTGTTGTACTCATTAGGCAAGTAGTGGTTAGCTTGTGCTCAGCAGGAAGCGATGGCACATGGCTTTGGCTGCAGCAGGTGCAAGGTGAAGACCTGGGTGTTTAATCAGCTCAGCCAGACTTAGCACATCCACGTGGAGGCAGTTTTGCTGGATTCCCATTGTAAAGCCGTGACTCCCCTGTGGTAGAAGCTGTTTTGATGAACCATAGTTTAAGTAGAATGTCTCATGTGCTGAGAGAGCCTCCTCTCCAGAGGACAACTGTCTTAGGAGCATCTAAGTCATTCTGAGCCACGCAACGGCTGACTGGATGGTGCACCTAGCTGATGGCATTTCAGGCTAACAACTCATGTACAACTATTGTGTTCCTGAAGGGTTTGGGCCAAAGGAGAGGACAGCAGCATCTTTGTGGGCTCCAAGGCTGGCTGCCCGTGAAGTGTGTGAGTGAGGGTGGTGATCCAGATGTGAGTGTTCCCGAGAGCACATGTCCCAGTCCTCCCCAACCCAACAGCTCTCTTGTGCCTCCTTGAGCCATCCTGTCCTCTGAGGATGTGCCCAGCTGTCCTGCAACTCTTGAACTTGGCTTGTCAAGTAGAGCTGTACAATCCAGGTGTCCATAGCCAAGTTTAGCTTCACGCTCCCAGGGTAGGGCCTTGACTCAGAGCTCTGGATACACACTTTGGTTTGGACATGAGAGCACTTCCATGGAGAGAGGACAGATTCTAAGGTCAGTTCCTCGGTGTTTTGTATTTAAAAAGTTGCCATTAATATCTGAGGCAGTTTTTGTGTGTGAAAGGTTTAGTGGGAAATAAAGAGGACATCTGATTTCCTACATATTAATGAGGCATCACTCTGTAGTTCTCCCGTGATTTAGGACACAGATATGGTTCTGTAGCTTGCCTTGGAATCTGTGTTCTGCATTTTCTCCCATCTCCAGAGAAGGAAACCGATTAATGGAATGGGAACATTAAAGCATTAGATGCTGGTTAATTTATTGTACTGAAATGTCTTCCATGGTCTCACACCTCATTTTCTCTGCTGTAAACTGCTCACAAAGAAAAAAAAAAAAAAACCTGTGAAACCAAAGGGAGCCAGGTTCCAGACTGGTTCTGCCCACTGGTCCTTTTCAAAGAGGACATGTTGAAGTACTTGTGTAGTTCTGCTCTCGTCTGTCTGTGTTGTTTGTTTTTGAATGCATCCGGGGCACTTCAGTGTGCAGGGCTTGTGTCAGGCCAGTGAGGGGTGGCCGGGATGGGATGGACTAGACTTCCTGGGAAACTGTCCTGGATCCCTTCTCTTCCTGTATTACTTTGGGCTGTTCTAAAGAAGAAAATGTTTCATCGCCAGTTGCTGGGAGTTTGATTTCTGTGTTGCTGGATTTACGGTTAAGTGAAGTGTGATGTTGGAACTTGAGCTTTTTGAGTGTTCACGTTGTCCTGAATTTCTCTTGGTAAACCCTTAAACCCTAGTCCTCCCTGGTTGATTGTGTTAAATCCATTACGAGAATGTTATTTAAAGTTGTGTTATCATTGCAACCTCCACTAATTATTCAGTACTGTAGTAGCAAAGTATTATTTGTAAGAATTTGGTTATTTTTATATTTGTATCCACTATAAGTCTGGCGTTCTAGTCAGTAAAATAATGCAATAAAACTAATATCATTTTCATTGTTTTTCTCTGAAGAAACAAACCAGCCCAGAGAACAACAAAGCATTTTTCCCCCTTGATGGCATCACCCCCTGCCTGGCACTTGGTGGGGGCAGAGGGACGGGACTGAGTGGTTGAATCCTTAATGCCAGCAGTGAGGGAGTAACACTTTTGATGGTGGGTGCATGAGTGGACAAATGGACAGACAAGCGGATGCGGCTAGGTGACAAGAGCTGACTGTAATAGAATGCTTTCACTGCTTTTCTTTCTATGGGGGAGCAAAAGGGGCTGTGCATGACCTGGTGACTGTCTCCCAGCGCTATTCCATGCCAAGACTTCACATCTTAGAGGAGAGATGGAAGTGCAGCCAGGTGCCTGGATGCTGGTGGTGACAATCTGTAGAGCTGGGGCTACGGCAGTGCTTTGACACTCGGGCAGCCAGGGATTGCGGCTGCCTTGCTGAGTGCTCTCCCGTTAATTGCTTTCTTGGATGCCCTTCATGGTGAGATTAATGTGCTTCTCATCTACTTCGCCTGCCCCCCGTCCCTCCCCGCAACTCTCCCAGCAGCATGGGACGTGAAGGTGACCTCAGGACTGCGGCCATGAAGCAGTTTCTGGGTGGAGATGACCGGGAAGCACCTTCCAAACCCAGCTCCTCTCTCCCAGCTTTATCACCCCCTTGCCCCAATAGCAGTACCCCCAGGATTAAAACAGGAACTCCGCCTCATCACCTTTGTTCCTGCCCAGTTTGGGTAGACATTGTAATCCACAGTACTTTCAGACTTTCACTCTCCTTGGGAAGGTTTTTTGCTTTGTTTTTAATTGTGCATACTTAAGGAACACAGCATGATGGTTTCAGAAACATAATGGTTACTGCAATCAGACCAACATACCCATCATTCTCATATCATTACCCTTTTGTCTGTGACATGTGATAACACCTGGACTCTGGTCTCAGCTACTCTTTCAGTGTCTAATGAAGTTCTGCTAGCTGCACACCCACACTGTACACAACCTGCAGTGACATGGAATGGGTGAATGCTCTTCACTGCTCCCCGCTGCCTTTCGCTTCCACCATTCTGTGGTGTGAACTCCTCTCACAGATACTGTAAGATCTTGATCACTCAGCTGTTGACCAACTCTTCGGTTGCTCCCCTAACGTGGCCTTATCAAGAATGCTATGCCCTAGTCATGGTTTTGAACCTCAAATGGGAGGCCCTTCTGGTGTGTGGTGTGCTGGGCTGAACCTTTTTTGCTGTGTAGGTCTCCCACCTGCAATGCTGAGTCTCCAGCCCAGGGCTTGATTTTGCTAACAAGTAAAAATCTCAAAGGTATTTTGAGACTCTTGGACACAGGACATTGGCGATGAGCTGTGAGCCATTTTCCAGTTGTATGGGAGGTGACCGGGGACAGTGTACACAGCCTATAGATAGCAGGGTCCTCCCCACCATACACATATTATGGGTATGGAACCACTACTGTGGCTTTCCAATCCCAGAGCCAGAATGCACAGCAAGCAGGAACTACAGGCCAGAGAGCGCTGAGACACCAGAGATGAAGGCATGAGTGTTGATGGAACCTGTACACCGTGTTCAGAATGAACAGTTTCTAGCACCCTCCACTGGTACCCACAGGTACAAGATGCCCTCCAGCCTTGCTTCCCACATCCTGATGTCAGGACCAAGTCTGGCCAGCCCTCCCAGCTTCAGCATCCTTATCAGTCATGTGAGGATAGGAAGAATGGCCTCACAGAGTCTACAAGGAGGATGCGCAATGAAGCAGCAATACACGCTCCTCCTCATCCACGGGACATTTTGAGGCTGATTGGCAGAACTGTGCCAGGGCCTGGCACTTGTCAGAGCATGGTGTCCTCTCCCCTTCACTGCTCCTCCCACTAGCGCTTCGTGGTGCAGATGTT